AAGCTAAAAACTCCCCACACCCACAGCGCATACTCTCTTCTGCTATATATTTCAATAGTCTTGTGATCGTCTAGTATTTATAACTCTCTTCTTTGGATTCCTCTTCACGTTGTGTATTTTCTTCTTACTATCTTTGTCTTACCAAGAATAACAATGCATCGGTTCGCTTCTACATTTTATATCAAGCTGGATACATATGGATACAATGCATAATTTACAATACAATACTTCAAATTAACTTGTCTTTCTCTCCTACCCCTAACTCGGCGATGAGTTTACTGGCGGCTACATCATTTGAGTGCGTTAGATATGACTTCTATACAATGTGTGAATCTAATAATTAAAGACACAATATGGTCACAAAGACCATAGTACTACAGGCTTTCGTTCCCATATTTCATTCGGGACCAAGGTGGCTACGTGTGTAAGACGCTGGCTCGCTAGCTTGGGCGTCGCGGGTTCGCTCACGGTGTTAGACGGGAAAGTTCATGGGGTTTTTCCTGCGTGGAGGACGGAGGGCGTGACAAGGACAGCTGTCTAGTCGTTCAGATAAGACGAAAAACCGAGATCCCGTGTACACTATGGCCTGCACGTAAAATATCCCTTGGCAGTTGGAATTCGATATAAAAGTAGGCCGTAGCGTCGCTGTCTAGGCAAAATTTCCCTTATAGAACACTGTATGGCGTATGCCCAGCCGGAGCAGAGCAGTAGGCGTTAAACCTCATTTCGTTTCATTTCATTTCCACATTTGTATTAACTATATCTGTAAAAATATCAAGGAATGTTAATCCTTTGTTTAACTATTTTATATGTCTGTATCAGAGAGCACTAGGTCACTCATGCACACTAGATTTTACGAATTTAAGTTTAGAACAGAACTTTAAAATACAACATTATACAATCTGGATATAATAGAATTGTCGTGTTATATAAAGGACATTATTGGCCGTTTTACTACACCTGTCTAAGGATTTATATTGCTGGTTCATCTGTTTATATATACAAACAATAAAAATTATATAAAACAATTAACTATAATATTCTAAATGACTTATAAACTGGGTTATTTATTTAGCTGTACATTCAATAGTATATGCACCATTCACAGACGCCATCAAATCAAAATACAACGCATATACCTTCTTTGTGTCCAAAATAAATTACTGTATTGAAGAAAAAATACCAAACGGCAAATGAATTCTCCTTGTACATGCGCATTTCAGCACCATAATTATAAACTATATCCGTTTAGAAAAAGCGACACGCGACGCAAAGGACGACGTCGTGTTAAAATGTCGACGTCGCCTTTGTTTCTCTATATCTTAACATTGAAAAAGGCGACGCATTACGCGAATGTTTCGCAAGTAGCTAAGTCTCTAACTCAATATGACCCAAAGTCTTTAATATTGTGAGAGAGAGAGAGAGAAATGGGGTTTAATGTCCACTCGACACAAACTAGGTCATTTTGGGACTAACACATGGTTTAATTTTATTTCAATAATTCGCTTGCGCGTAGGAGTCTTTAGCAGTGGGAGGAAACCGGAGGACCCGGAGAAAACCCACGAGGTTGGACAGGCGACCCTACTCCTTGCCACGTACAACCGGGGATTCGAAACCACGCCAGTTGACTCAATGACAGACTTTATGGTACAGCGCGCACGTGCTAACCATTCAGCCACCCAACCCCCCTCTTTAATATTGAAAACACGAATTATTTGATGTTGTGATCTTACCGGGAAAATATGAGCTTCTGATATCCAATATTTAAAACAAGATAAACATATTTTACCATTGGTGATGAATATCACTACTTATTCAATTGTACTTATTTTATTAAAAAACGCGAAAAATATATATCCAGATTTTATTATACAAGACCTAATACTTTTAAATATAATAAACTTTTTAATTCAAGCAAACAATCAATAATTATAAAATTATGTATGTTTTTAAAGATAATACTTAACAAATTTATGTCCATTGACTAAGAAATTAAAAGCCTCCATCTTGTAAATATGTAAATAACCTATCACTCATATGTCATGTATTTGATCTGAGTTGCGAATAAAGTTCTGTTCTGTTCTGGTACACGAATCGTGTACCATAATGCGTTCCAACGGCATTTGTAATAAGAGACTCGAAGAACAAGTCTAGACATATTCCACAAGTCATGACACATAGTGACGTAATATTCTTATCAGGGGAACATGCGCAATAAATACTATCGGTGTAGACAGGAATAACCAGACTCTAGGGATTGCCATTCAACTGAGACTTCTAGCGTATTTCGCCGAACATAACTGATTAGAAATTACAGTAAAAACAGAAACGATTGAATGTAAATCAGTTTATATACATGTACATTCATAATACATTATTAATATTATAATAATATGCGTTGCGACCAATTTGAGTCAATTTCTAGGTCCCAAACATTAGCGATTTAGTTCCTCTAAGTGTATATTACATAATAATATAATGAATAACTGTTTTGATCTCTCCATCGACCTGATGAAGGCGTTGTTCGTTGTATGTGTATTTATTTGAAAGACTACCGGAATTCATTTCAAATGTATGATAACGTATGTTACATTGCCTAATGTAATGAATAACTATTTCGATCTTTCCACAGATTCCATAAAATACACGCCCACACACAAGATCAAGTATCAGAAGTCAATCCAGCAATGGCCAGAGAGGGATTTCTCGGGACATTGCTTAGGAATATAACCACCACGCCACACGTATTATAGTCTAATGAGTAATGTGGTCCGCAGTGACTCTATAATGTAACACTTTTAGACTTGGCGCTATATGAATCTCTGTGAGATAGAAGATCTGATAGGCCAAAAGGTCGCTGAGTGACATATTATTAATGCAAAATATAGCCTAAGTTAGTAAGATCTTGCGGGCGAATAAAGGGACTTAACGAAAAGAACCCCAAGCCGTTTTGGAACAACGTAAAGTCAAAAAACCAAGATACAACCATTCTGTAAAGGCACAGGTACGGCTGATCCGTGCCACCTACAGTTCTCTGGAAACCATAAACCAACTTTACCAGATCTGAAAATCACCGACACTGGAGTTACTAAATTACTTTTGAATTTAAAGACTGCCAAAGCTATGGGACCAGATCGTATCCCAAATATCGTCCTGAAAACATGTGCATATGAACTCTCACCAGCTTTAACTGAAATAATCCAAAAATCAGTAAACACCTGAACATTACCATCCGATTGGAGAAATGCAAACATTAGCCCAGTATTTAAAAAAGGTGACCGCCACCAAGCCGAGAACTTTAGGCCAGTGAGTCTCACTGCACTGTTCTATGCAAATCATTGGAACACATAATATGTAAACACTTACTAAAACATTTTGAAAATCACCAAATATTCACAAACAGGAACCACGGCTTCAGATCAGGATACTCCACTGAAACCCAACTGATAGTCACAATGAACGACCTACTCGAAAGCTATGATCAGAAATTGCAAGTCGATGTGGCGATCCTAGAGTTCTCAAAAGCCTTTGATACTGTACCACATGACAAACTCCTTCATAAACTAGAAAATTATGGCGTGAGAGGAAATATACTGAACTGGTTAACATCTTTCTTGAAAGATAGACATATGAATGTCGCCATTGAGGGTGAACATTTTGACAGTGTTAAGGTTGAATCTGGTGTCCCCCAAGGGGCGGTTTTATGTCCACTGATGTTCCTTTGCCACATAAATGATCTTCCGGACGCAGTTAAATCCACCGTTCGTTTGTTCGCAGACGACTGTCTTCTCTGCAAGACGATTCGCCCGTGCGATGATCACCTTGCACTACAAAGGGACCTCCAAGAACTGGAAAAATGGGCTGAACTCTGGGGCATGAAATTCAACGCCAAAAAGTGTTATATCCTCAGCGTCCAACAAAAGTCAAGTTTTTTCTATGAACTAGATTATACCATATTACAACAAGTTGACGCAGACCCATACTTGGGTCTGCATATTTCGGGAAACCTTACGTGGGAAACTTATGTAAGTAACATCTGCAAAAAGGCTAATTCTACGCTTGGTTTCCTGAAACGTAATTTAAAACATTGTCCTCAAGACTGCAGGAAGTTGTCATGTATCTCGTTAGTTCGCTCTACTCTTGAATACGGAGCTGTTATCTGGTACCCTTATTTAGTAAAGGCATGGACCCTATAAGGTCCATGGTAAAGGACATTAACTCTCTGGAAAAAGTACAGCGACACGCAGCTAGATTTATAATGAACGATGGTTGCGTCCAAGATATGCTACAGGAACTCAACCTTGACACGCTGCAAAACCGAAGACGTCACTCAAGGTTAGTGTTCCTCTTCAAGATTATTCGGGGTATGGTGCCGGCAATTGACAATTCAACATATTTGACACCCATTACAAATAAGAGACGCATCAAACCAACAAAAAAAATTTAGTGACAATCTAACTACCAATATCGTCGAAAAATTCAGTGTGAATCACCCAAACTGTTTTAAAGTAAAAGACTACAACACAAAACAATTTAAAAACTCTTTTGTCATCAAGGCAGTGCAGGACTGGAACATCCTAGAAGAGAGTGTGGCATGTGCACAGTCAGTGGAGAGTTTCAAAGCAGCTCTCCAGGGCCGCAACTAAGCAGACGACACTCACTCCCGACGCGTTAAAAGTGGTTCCTGCGTCGTATATAGCCAGATACAGATTACAGATCTTCAAAGTGAATTCCAGTGTTTGTAACTGAATTCAGGTTTTTATAAGCTAGTTCCGGTGTTTCCCGTGATTAGTCCCTACCGCCTTATAATATTAATATAAGGTCCATGCCAACATAGACGGGCTAATCCATAGTTGTTTACTATAAGTTTCCCGCAATTCAATTCAAGTAGACAAAACAATGGAACATGTGATTTGCAAATGAGGGAGGTCATTGTAATATCGGCATATCATTGGTCAACTTTGTCAGCTTCCGTTTCCTCACATGCGCAGCCATATTGCTAGAACTTAGAGAATATTTATCATTTTTCTACGGAAAACTGCTTTTAAAAAAAACCGTTTAGCATTACTGTTTGTTGTCGTTAATGTCCGTTCGTGCATGCCCAAGCATGGCGTCTTTTCTATTTTAAGAATTTACGTTATTTTAATGTACCGGAAACGTATTGGTTGTATGTAAACAAAAATAAAACTGTAAAGTTCTAAAAATGTCAGCGAACCACGTGGATTCTAGTCAAGAAATACAAGCCGGCCAGTTGTCGCCGAGTAAAAAACGTAAACATAAGTACATAGGTAAGGTCAACGTAAATTGGCGTCTGCATATGGAAGGGACATTTTAAGAGAAAACTAAAGCTTGACCTCGTCATATTGTCATTGGCTGTCAAATAAATAAACATAACTTAAAAACTGAATTAAAACTTTACTCTGTAGTCAGCCTAAATAATAAGTATTATTAAACTGACATTTCTTACCAGACCTATTTTTACCCTTCACTAGGATGAGTTGCTAAAAATGTTGTTTTTTCGGAAGTGTTTGTTTTTAGCCACGATTGGAGGACTTTCTTCATTTCCATTTCAAACTGGTTTTATCATTCAACCCTTGTGGTTTTTTGAAACTAGATTTTCAACACTTAGACTAGACATGCAGTGGCTTACTGAGTAAGGCCTGTGTTTTCCATGTAACGGTACGCGTTTTTACCAGTGAAAATTAAAGTCGGTCAAGACAAATGTTAGGAATCATTCCATTTAACCGCCGAAAATGAACACATATGCCCATGATATGGTAAAGAGGGTTAAGGTGCTTAGGTCACTAACCATTTCATTTCAAAAGTTTCAAATAAATTTTAAGTACAATTGGTTAAGATCAGCATTTAGGTAAAAAAAAAAAAAGAATGAATAAGATCATTCTTCAATGGAAGGGCTAGTTTGAGACTCCATTTCATATACCGTAACCATGTCACAACATCAAGTGTTATTACCCAAAATTTTTATGCTGCATTGAAGTTGAATTACACTAATTCTATTGTATGGACATACAACAGTTTCTGGAATAAAAATCTTACCCCAAGCTGGTGGGGGGGGGGGGGGGATGGCCGAATGGTTAGCTTGTGCGGGTTGCATCACAAGATCTGTCATTAATCAACTGGCGTGATTCCCTGGTTGTATGTGACAAGGAATAGAGTCGCCTATGACCTGTCCAACCTTGTGGGTTTCTCTGTGTCCTCCAGTTTCCTCCCACTGCTAAAGACCCCTATGCGCACGCGAATTATTGAAATAAAATTGAACCATACTTTAGTCTCGAAATGATCCAGTTTGTCTCGAGTGGACATTAAACCCCATTTTGCTCTCCCTCACCAAGCTGGAGGGACCACATCAAACATGCAAATGTTAAGGATACAAATCTAGCTCCATGATGCCTCAGTTCCAAATCTTTGTCTTATAGAATCTGGTACAGATGATGCTGATACAAATTTATCTCAAGACGATGAAATAACATTTAAGTCTGCTAAAACTAATCATAATGAAACATGCTGGACAGAAGCTGATAAAGGTAGGGTAGTCATCTTTAATATGGTTTAACCCATTCATCTTTCATACCGTATTAAAAAGGGAGCCATGCTAAGTGGGTAAGACGCTGGCTTGCTAGTCTGGAGGTTGGGTGTTCGATCCCTGCATTGGCTGAGAAAGTTCATCGGGATTTTCCGACACGGTTTTCCCCTAGTGCAGGACAGAGGGCCTTCCCTTGGCAGTTTAAATTCGATATAAGAGTAGGCCATAGTGCCACTTCCCGGGCAAAATTTCCCTCATAGCACATTGTATGGGGTATGCCCGTCTTCATTAGCCCAATCGGAAATTTTAGAATTTGTAACATGTACACTATGAAAGTGGTAGGTTTCATCATCTGGATTTTACACATCTCAGCGTGCTGTTATAGAAAATTTGGAGGGTGGATGGCCGAATGGTTAGCACAGGTGCGCTGTGTCATAAGGTCTGTCATTGTCCATTGAGTCAACAGGCGTGGTTTCGATTCCCTGGTTGTACGTGTACGTGGCAAGGAATAAGGTCGCCTGTCCAACCTCGTGGGTTTTCTCCTTGTCCTCCGGTTTCCTCCCACTGCTAAAGACTTCTACGCGCAAGCGAATTGTTGAAATAAAATTGAACCATGTGTCCCAAAATGACCTAGTTTGTGTCGAGTGGACGTTAAACCCCATTTCTCTCTCTGTAGTTGGGCCGAGTTTGTTTGCACTGTTTTTAGCAATCTTTTGATAAATGTTTTCATAACTAATTTGTGCAATAAAATTGGAACTAACGTAGATTTCAAAACCTATAGAAACTTTATTACAGAAATCCATGTATGGTTGAAATCAGATATTCGTCATTTGATGGATAATTTAGAAGCGGCCATTATAGAAGCAGATGGAGAAACTAGATCTTGTATAGGACTAGAGCAAAAAATAAACTGGGATTCTGTGAAATTTGGTCGGTATTCAGCCGAAGATTGTCTATTTATGTGGAAAAAAATACAGAAGAAGGTAAATTTAATGATATGTTACTTCAAAAATAATAAGGTCATCTGTTCAACCACACAAATTTTTTTATTTGAAAGTATACTTCAAATACTAACATTTTGTCCGATACAGGAAATATCATTTCTTCCAGGCCTTTACTGGTGAGAAAAAAATTAACAAGTCAATTAAATTTCAGCAATTTCATGTAATAACCCTAAAAGTTATGGTCCTTTATCCATAGATTCATGCCATTCCTTCTTGTGCCATTCTTTATTTCATTCCTTCTTCTGTTTATCTGATTTAGGTGAGGAAAACAAGAACAATGTGTGAAGTGATGAATGAAGCTAAACAACTGGTATCAGATAATGTTGAATCGTTTGTAAGTAGTACAAAAAGCTTTCATAAAGAATTTGGGGCTATGGTGGCTATCTGGGTAAGAAGCTGGCTCACTAGCCTGGAGGTCGGGTGTTCGATACCTGCATTGGCCGAGAAAGTTCGTCCAGATTTTCCGGCATGGTTCCCCCTTGTCAGTGATGCCTGCCAAGGACAGCTGTCTAGTCGTTTGGATGGGACAAAAAAAAAAACGAGGTCCCACGTACACATGGGCGTGCACACAAAAGATCCCTTAGCAGTTTGAAGTCGATATAAGAGTAGGCTGTAGCCTATGCCGGTCTTCATTAGCCCAGTTCGGAGTAGAGCAGTAGGACGTTAAACCCCATTTCATTTTATTTCATAAAGAATTGACTGGCATGTATGAAAAAGATAGCACAATTAGTATTATTACTTTAGTTGTCTTAAAGATACATAATGTAAGATTTAGACATTCTTACTTTAATAGTTCAAAAATAGATAATGCAAAATCTATATTTTGAAAATTTCATTCAAATTACTGTATTGCAAGTGAAGATATTAACCTTTGAAGGTTTGACAAGATGCGTGCATTAAAGGTCATCAGGAAAGCTTCATAAATTATTTAGATAATGCAAGTAATTATGTCAACATATCCTTTCGATAAGTATAACATGAACCTGAATGTCAATATTACCTGCAACAGGTAAATTTCAATGTTAGTAATTTACGCCATTCTCTGTAGGTAATCATAACTTTCCGTCAATAAACAATCTGTGACGTCTTTTTAGTCCTTCTGCTCATAGAAATATAGACTAGAATATGAGCAGAAGGACTAAAATGACGTCACAGATTGTTTATTTAAAGAAAGTTACAACTACTCACGGAGAACGGCAAAAATTACTGACATTGAAATTATAATGGATCAATTTGATTAATTTTTGGTGATCAGATTCATATTGAAATGGTTTTACAGATTAACATAATCATGATCTTTTAATTCAATGATGACACATAGAGTTATATGAATTTGAAAATACGTAAAGTAAGACACTGCTAGGCTTGGAGTTGGGTGGTTTATACTATAGTGCTCCTACGACTAGTCAGATAGCCGTAAACGGTTAGAACTGGACGGTTAAACGGTTCGAATTCAACGGTACGGTTATTTGGAGATGTCCCCCATTAAACAGAGTTGTGTCTGAATATATTCCTCTCTATAACAAAACTTGCCCGTTGATGTTTGAAAATCTTAGAATGTAACAGTCGTCCTACGATGTCGACTGCTTAAAAATAATACTATTAATAGCACTCGTCGTGGTCATACGGCAAAGACAACGGACCTTGTTCTGACTTTAGCTATTGTTAATCCAATCTAAATACTTCTCGGCATTTCTAACTATATTCTAACTTGTTTATTAATTACTTCAAAACGTAACCACCTTTCAAAATATAATCATAAAGGCTAGAAAATGACATTATACTAGATTCGTTACGACATTCAACACGTTTCATATCACATAATTTCTCGCAAGAATTCTACTTTGGTTTTTAGTTAAATTAACCAATCATAAAAATTCTACTTGCAAGCGAGGAATTATTTCTTTATTATCCAATCAATAGACGCCTTCCAATTTACTTTATTCTATTCTTAGTAACATTGTGTAATTATAATATTATCGCCATCTGTCACGTATGAAGGGAAACAGAGTATTGTTTTGTATATTATCGTTCTATTGAATTAAAAAATGTTTCAAATGAACCAAGTTAACCAGGTAAATAAATAACTACGGCCTAAGATAGTTTAAATTTTCATTAAAGAATTGTACATTCCTGAAAATATTCCTGAATTATTTGCATGGTAATGCCATTTAGGCGAGTATAGCGTGCGCACAAGTAATGACTCACACCTCCTGACAAGCTCTGTTTTATGTTTAAAATTGATACCATACTGTTAACGGTTACTAACTGGTTAATAGCTACGGCTATTCAAATAACAAAAAGTCTTAACCGTAGGAGCACTAGTTCTCTTGATTAAGTTGCTATAAGAAAGAAGGTATAATCGTAATAACTAAAGAATTCTGCTTTTGCCTGTTGTGTTTCATAGTTTTTGAAGGGATATTTGTGACTAAGTCTTCTTGTTTACTCTTCAGTTAAAGTTTCAAAAAGCCCTGACAGCAGAGGAACTTTATGTTGATAAAAAGTTGGATGAATATTTAGAAAATCATTCAGATGTGGAGCGGGACGATGCTGTGGAGGTTTTAAAATCTAAATATAGTAATTTATCTGATAGACGAAAGGTAATTTCAGTATATTTCATTATTATATTCAATACATGCTCGTTTCTCACAAAGGAAAATGATTACAGCTTAAAATATTGTGTGGTGGCGTTTGACAACAAGACCATTTTTACTTCTGTGTTTACAGAAAAATAATTTGGAATATCTGTTGGCAAAACTGGAGGTATTATATATACATGTAAGTACGGTAATCAGCAAGCTTGTATATTTGCATATCAAAATTGCAGTTAAAAATACTGATTACTTGAATCAGGGTTTCGTTATACAGATGACACTCATTATAATTCAGCCCGTCAAATTTAATAAAACATTATCTCATGAAATTGTAAAAAAAAAGTCTGTTTTTATACGCCCGTGTGGAAATGTGGTTATATATTGTCATCAGTCTGTCCGTCCGTCTGTCGTCCATAATTTCTTGTGAACACTCTAGAGACTACATTTATCATCTCTCTCTCTCTCTCTCTAAATTAGTGAAACGAAGAACCCTTTTGATCACTTATAGAGTTATAGCCCTTGTTTCGCGTATTTGTACCCTGTGAAAGCTCTAACAACCAAAGTTATCATCTGATCTGTATGATCTGTATGATATTTATATGCATTAGTTAGATTATTGAAATGAAGAATCCTATTGAATTTCAGCAATTTCCGTTTATTAGGTCTAGAGTTATACTTATGGCTCTTGTTTTAACAACAAAAGTTATCATCCAATCTGTATGATATTTATATGTATCCTTTAAATTAGTTATATGAAGAAGTCTATTGAATTTCAGCAATTTCCATTAATTACGTCTAGAGTTAAAATTATGGCCCTTGTTTCACTTTCTTGAACCTTGTGAACGTTCGAATGATCTGTATGAAATTTACATGCATCATTTAAATTAGTGAAACGTAGAAGCCTATTGAATTTCAGTTATAATCTAACTGCTCGGACGATATAGCTGCTGTGGGCGTATGTTTTGTTGCCTGGCAACCCATCTTTAATCTGTTTTTTTTTTTTCAGGAGAAATATGAAACTAAAGCAAAGGAGATGCTGAAAGTGGTTAAATCACAGAAGTAAGTAAACTTTAGAAAGCACAGAAAAGGGCCATATAAATGTGGGTTGTATTTGAAGCCAGTGTTTACTGTAGGCCTATATACACTTTTATTCAAATTCTTTGATAATTATATAATAACAGGTTAGCAAGCCAGTGCCTTTCTCACGGACTCACCACAGCTCCCTGTTTCAATTTATATAATTATTGGGGATCACGTGGCTAAGTGGGTAAGACGATAGCTCGCTATCCTGGAGGTCGTGTGTTCGATCCCTGCATTGGCCGAGAAAGTTCATCCATATTTTCCGGCGTGGTTCTCCCTTGTCAGTGATGCAGGACGGAGGGGCTGACAAGGAAAGCTGTTCTAGTCGTTCGGATGGGACGAAAAACGTAGGTCCCGTGTACACATTGGCGTGCACGTAAAAGATCCCTTGGCAGTTGGAATTCGATATAAGAGTAGGCCGTAGTGCCGCTGTCCGGGCAAAATTTCCCTCATAGCACACTGTATGGCGTATGCCCGTCTTCATTAGCCCAGTTTAGGAGCACAACAGTAGGACGTTAAACCCCATTTCATTTCATTTCATTTATATAATTATCAATGGATTTGAATGAAATTGGTGTTAACGGCTCAATACCACTCTTGTTGTAACTGAATAATTGGTCCCAATCTTTATTCTGGTCAACAAATTGCACTATTTTACAATATTCCAATTAATTGATGATACAAATTTCATCTTAACACACCTAATTTAAAAAATTGGAAAAATTCAACTAAATTATTTGAAAAGCCTGACGTAAAGCTTTTCAAATGTGACTTGGATTTAAAAATATTTTTGAACCCTTTGGACAAGTAAAATAGGATTTAATGGATAATTTACACAACAGGTAGGACACTAACACATCTAGTACTTAGAATAAGGCTATTTTTTATTTTCTGGAGCTGTCAAGCCAGCAAGAGTGTTATTGTCCCTTTAAGTATATATATAATAAACACTGAGTGACTGCACCACTTTTATATGGTCATTTTATGTTGTGGTTAAGTTATAAATAAATATTTCCCTTGCTCCTCTCAATGCATGTATTTGAATCATTACATCCTCAGTTCCATTGTGGTCGAATATCTGTAAATTTGTATTTTATAGTTATGTGTGCTATGTCAGGTGGGAGAATTCTACTAAGAGTAAGACTGCTCGTATCAATTTCTTTGAATCACATGCTCTAGCTAAATAGGGCTAGTCAAATAGTACAATTAAGTGAAATAGGGCTCGTTTAATAGGACAATTAAGCCCTATAGTGCTAATAATAGGATAATTAAGCACACTAGGACGAATAATAGGATAATTAAGCATGCTAGTTCTAGGGCTGTGTCGATACAGTTCATTTTCGATACAATACGTATTGACGATACGACAACCCGATACGAGATAGGTATCGCGATATCATATCATGAATTATGCCCAAAATAATCTCAAACTACATTCTGTTTCAATATGTTTGAGATGGGTAAGCATCAGGGTTCTTAATCCATTTTGAAACAAACCGGCCAGAATTGGGTCAATTGAGGTCCCGTAAGATATGGGTTAATTATAAGCTCCATTCCCTTTAATATAACTAGACTTCATTTGTTGTGGAGAATGTCGTATTTTAATGTATGTGATTACCACAAAAATAACGACAGGTACACCTTTTGAAAATTTTCCATATTTAATTCACGTACCATCTTGAAGTTTGTGTAATATTCCAGAATAAATTAATTACTGTCTTCGTTTATTCGATGAAACGTTCGCTTTTCATAAGTCGATGATCTAAAATATTAGCATTTTTCAACTATTGCCAGTATCAGAAAATGCCGTACGTACACAAAATAAGCTGATACGGCACCATGGCATTTCTTCATAACACTCCGGTAACTAGCCACGTAACTTGGCAAAAGTTTTTATTCATTCGTCAATTGATAGACACACGTACGGCACAATTGTACCGTGACAACCATACTTGAAATTGCTTTAAAATAAAACTTCCGAACGATTATGATATAGCCTTCAATAAAAACAATATTTTTTAAATTAAGCCTTTGCCAGAATGTGTAAAAAATCAAGTGCTATTTAGAACTGGTTTATTGACCTAATTCGAAGCGATATGTCACTTGTCATTGGAATTCTATCAGGAAAATATATTATTAAATGACTGTTTCTCGGTGTATTCTGTGTTCTATCAGGGGATTATATTCAATGAAGATTTAAATTTACCTAACAACTGGTCAGTGAAATTCACTGACCAGTTGTTAGGTAAATTCACTGACCAGTTGTTAGGTAAATTTAAATCTTCATTGAATATAATCCCCTGATCCGCGCTCCGTATGAATTCCTGGTACAGGTAGATATTAAAATAATAACTGGATCATAGTAGATATTAAAATAATAACTGGATCATACATTGATGGATTTAATATCTACCTGTACCAGGAATTCATACGGAGCGCGGATGACGCTCGATTGGCAAACCATGCCGAGATCGTCTTCTTTCGCCACGTGGGTTTCGTGGTCTTTCTTAAAGGAGGAATTTTCTCAGCGATACAGCTATATTACGTATCGATATAAATATTGCTGGAACGTATCGATACATATCGGTGTATCGATATATCGACACAGCCCTAGCTAGTTCTAGTGTATATTAAACCAACTAGGGCTAGTATATACATAATAGGACAATTACCGGTAAGTCAACTAGGGCTAGTATATGTAATATGACAAGCCCACTAAGGCAAACATATGAAAAATAACAATTAGCTAACTAGGGCTAGTATAATAGGACTACATTGGCAATTCATCTACTTTGCATTGATTTATTATTGGACTGTTTTATTTTCTAGAGGAAAAGATCCCTGCCCAAAAGCTCCCTTACCTGTCAATTTTTTTATTGAATCTAAACTAGAATCAACAATGAAAAGACATCCAGAGGTATGTACAGCTTTGGTTGAGTGACTGGTTAATTGAGACTGGTCAGTACTATGCAGCAAATAGAAGCAGGCCAGTTGTTAATATTACATTGTCAAAAATGTTTGACTCTTAGATAAATAAAGTAATACAAATTCTGCTATCTTTTTCATACAGACCAGTCCATTCTTTACTTGCGGTATATTCACCTTTCTAGTGTCGCAGGAACTCTCTATTGGAACAAACATTCCTTGCTTCAAATCTCTGATATGAATTCTTGGAATATGTTAGCCTACCTTAGTTACATATTCGATAATATTTAGGCTGACCTTAAAAATATCTTTGTTTCACCAAACCCGACCCACAATCGAGGAGAAGGGTCGGTAGGTCGGGTTTTTTTCAGATTTTTTTTTTAAGAGCTAATTTGACAGCTTGATAATTTTCCGGGTGCAAACATTCGTCTTCTTTTATTGGCAAACAAATCAATGACATCGGCATCGGGATTTTTCTTGATGCACGACTCGCACACAAATTGCGACAAACTCACGTTTGAAACTCCCTCAACACGTTTTTAACGATCGTGCGGGTTGTGCCTTTATTTTTCTCGAAAACGGATATTGAAAATATCGTCGTCATGTTTAAAACGACGCCCCACAGACATAGAGGCAGAATCATTTCGTGGGAATGGACGTGCTTTCGTCTGCAACCATTTTGTTGAGAAGCGACACCTATGACGCTTTCGTCTTGATCAACCAGTTTCAAAAATGAATCAAACCATAGCCATAATAAAGGGAAATAACTCTCGTGATATATTTCAGGTTGACACACAAAATAAAATAAAAAGATCGCGGAAAAGTGCAATAAAATAATTTAAGTCGGGGGTGGTTTTAGTTAGTCGGTCGCGTTAGGCGAAACAAAGATATTTTTAAGGTCAGCCTTATCCCTTTTTAATGCACAAATTATTTTATTTTATCAAAAAATCACATGTCAGAAAGAAAAAAAAACAAAAAAAACTTGCTGAATTTTTCAGGGGATGTACCTCTACAAAAGATAGGGGGTACTAAAAAATTTGGTTTTAGCAACATGACAACAATAGAAAATAGATACCAAATGATTGTAACAAAACTTTGTGCCTATGTGTTTGTATTGGTTGAGTACGATGTATCCCAGTCACTATTCTAGATACTTTTTGCTACATTTTTTTTGATGTTGACTATTCATCGGCGAAAATAACAACAGTCATTTTCCACCCAAACATATTCTTGGGACTCCACGTTTGATAAGATTACATAGATGTCTATTATGTAAGATTCCCATTTAATATAGTGATCAGTGATTGATCATAATTATATCAAGCTTTTTCGAAAAAAAAAAAGTGAAGTCTTTCACAGTGTAATGCTTAAAATTTAAATTACAATTTATTTTATTTTCAAAAAAAGATCAGGAGTGGCCGAGTTAAATTTAGTATGAAAACTTTGTCTATCATTGCTATGCTTTTAATGCATTATGCTGCTAGTGCTGGACATGGGAATTCAATTTATATTTCGGTCTGATATTAAAAATAATTAAGTCATGTGAAAAATATGACATGAATATTACAATTGAAGAACTCCTAAAATTTGTGAATCACCCTCCTTAACGTTTTTTGGGGGGAGCTTTTTTTAAAGGAGTGATTTTGTATTTGATCAATTTCAGGAGAGCTTAATTTTGCTCTTTTAACATTTTTAAACCTTTAGTGGCATGGCTAGAGAGAAAGTTTCCATAAGACTTCTATTCAATAGTAGTATAAAATAAAAACTGGTTGTTTACATGGATAACCCATAAACTACAATATTGTAAAAGTTGAACCTCTAATTGGAATATCAGTTCAAGAATGGTTCATTTCCATTCAGTATTTACATGTACAATGATATGATGAACTGAAATTCCATCAATCTATACTGCTCTCTATGTAAATGATGTACCACCATCTTTGATTCGTGAAACCGAATTGCTGGACCAATTTTTAATCCAATTGTTGATATTTTAATCTTTTCTTAATAAAATGTTAAATTATTACCATGGATTAGGCACTGGGAGATTTGATATTTTTATGTAATATCACACACAATTAATTTTAACTGTTAAAATTATTTTACAATATTTTTGTTTAGTGACCATCAAACCAGAATTTTAATCTACTTTTAGCTTAGTGAACATCAAGCAAGACTTCACTGTAGATCAAAGTTCCGTGATTTAAAAGATTCTAAGAAAATTAAATATATCAATAAATCTATTGATGCATTTCCTGAATTTCAGGTGAGTCTATTTTAGAAGGGCATTACGATTTAGATGAATTTTGTTTTAATTTATTGGTCAATGAGAATGAGCTTTGTACAATCAACTTCACTAAACATCCCTGGAAATACAAAATTTTCTGACCTTATTTAATAATGTTGTCATATATGTTGGAAATAAATTTATGACGTTAAACGAATATGATGACTGGGAGATCAGCTATTCAGGAATAAATGATTAGTATATAAACTACACATTAGTTTATATAATGGGATGCTCACCTTCAAATAAAATTTTAGATAGTGATCTCTGCTTATTCTGTTATTGCAAAGTCTAATATATAGGTAACTTACTTCTCTGTTTTGTTGCCATTTCTTAGACTTGTCACATTGTTGAAATTTGGAAGCAGGGCGTGGGTTTAACACGTAGTATATTGTTTAATTTCTTTATTAATATGTAGGTTTATATTTATGTGTGTCTCAAATTCAACATTTCTTTACATCATTTACAGAAAGAATTAAGGGCATATTTTGAATCACACCCAGATGTAACAGTTAAACCATTAACATCTTTCTTATCTAAACCAGAAATAACCACCAAATTAAAATACGATGGTTTTCCAGCTAAACCACCACAGTAAGTATACCTTAATTCCCACAAGGGCTGCACCATTTTAAAATACTTTGAGGGGTGAATTAGTTTCATGTTTGATATCTTTTGTCGATTACTTTTGAAAGATAATTTTTTAATCCATTCAAACTGAAATTAATTGACAAATATGTTAGTCACCAAATTTGGCTATATTTCTTTAATTTGACCTTCCAGTTCTCACATTATGATTTGCTGTAGAATGGAGGTCTGTCATTTTGTGTAAGCCGTGAATTTAATCCTATCATTGCCCAAATTTGTGCCAGGATCTAAAAGTATCATCATACATAATACGCAATGCAGGACTCAATAGACATAATTAGTAAAAAACAAAAGTTCAGGTATTTTCATGAAATAAAATAGTTAGCATGATCAATTAGTTCAATAACCATTGCAGTTTCACTTGTTTCACGTTGCCACCATATTGATTACTAGGTTAAACTATTACAACAATAACCTTCTAAATAGTCATTTTAAGGCATGTGTGGTGATATGACCTACTTGTGTTAGCCCTTAAAGAGTCCAAGTAGCTGTTTTCCTGTGCCCACAATCCAAGTACACAGTTCTCATGACAACAAATGTTTAACTGACATCACACGGTGGAATATTAGAGATAAAGCAAGACAGTAATGTCGTGTCCGCAATCCTGTTGCATCCTTCACTTGTTTACGTCCAGATGTCAGGCAGCCATTTTCCCAAGAACTCAATAGTAACAACAGTGAAACCCTCAAGAACACGGTGGTTTAATGAGACTACAAATTCATTCTTGCTCTCTTCAATCCAGATCACTGTGAATGGAACTTTCAGGATGACACCAAGATTAAATTATAATTGTATATTCGTTTGTTTTTGCCTTTTCAGGACAGGCTATTCTTTATTTAGCATAGAAAAATTACGCAATGAAACTTTTATGCATGATTATGATTCAAAGACCAGGTTTAGAGCAATCTCGGATATCTGGAAGGGGTTGAATGCAGAGGAGAAGAAACGCTACGAAGTTCAGTCTACCGAGGTACAATAGCCAATCCCATGATATCACTTGTCTCATAAAAAATAATTTTTGAATTTATACCGTTGCTTTGTTATTATGCTTTGCTATTATATGAAGGGACATTAAGAAATAACTGTCCATAATTTTTTTATGACAAAGTTGCTCAATTCTAACATTGTTTACAAGTTGAGATCTGCAAATTGAATTGATTGGAAAATTTATCAATTTTAAACTACAGCCATGTGAATGTGTGCTTGGCATAGGTCAACAAATGAGTATTATTATTATTAGCCTGTATTTGTGTTTAATATAAATAGTAGAAATTTACATTGGCTTTCTGACAGTGGACATTATATAATATATAACATAATAACACATTGGTGCTGAGTAGTAGAATACCCATTGTTAAATTTAATTACTTGGTTCTGTTTCCATATAATTAATCATACCTTTGATCATGTTATAAGTTGAATTCTACTTTTATTATACGTCCACATTTAAAAGTGGTTATTTAATGTCATCATCCCTATCTCTGTCAATACCCCAGAATTTCCTCTTTGAAAATCTTTTATGTGCTCAAATGGCTAAAATTAACTTTGAATTTATGCACATTGTTTATATTCATGAAACAAAGTCTTGATTTTCAAAAAAAACCTAATAATTACTTGTTCTTGACCATTATTAATAGCAGCTAAAGTTTTCTGATTTATAGACAGTGTATAATTATGTTCCTGAGATGAAGAATCATTGCCAATTTTTGAGCTTGCTGTCCCAGCAAAATCTTGTGGACACACTGTTGCCTGAAGTTTTCCAAATGCCATAACCTTGGTGGACTGCTCGGCCGACTTAATTGCTATTATTTATTTATGGTTTTTTTTATGTTACAGATGAAAGAAGAATATAGAAAAAGTATGAAGGAGAAGCTATTATCAATATCAGAAGAAGAAAAAGATTTATTAAGTCAAACAATACATTTACCTACATTAGATAGTCTAAATGATGATCCCTCCAAAAAATCCAAGGTAGGTCTTTCACTGACATTGGGCCTACTTGTTGAGAAGTAATGGAAAACTGATGTCCACCTGCATATTGGAATTTAGAATTCTAAAGAGAGTAGTAAGAAACACTAATCTCACGCAAAATTTTCCTTTAAAGGAGCTAAATCTCTATTTTGAATGTATATAAACTGATTCACATTAAGTCACTTCTGTTTTTACTGGAATTTCTAACCAGTTATGTTTGGCGAAATATGTGATGAGTCCAAATTGAATGGCAGTCTTTGTCGTCAGGTTATTCCAGTCTACACTAGTAGTATTCTCTTGTGGGATATGTTTAGCCTCGTTCATCGAGTCGCTTCATTACAAATGGCATTTTCATTTTGTCTTAGATATTGGGATATCAGAAGCTAATCTTTGTATGGTAAGATAACATCAGTGTTGATTTAAATTGACCAATAAGTCATGTTTGCAATGCCGAAGGCTGTGGATGCTCCTGAGTTAGCGTCTTATCTCCTTTAAATGTAATGATGAAAAAAATAACATATTTTAAATTTTGATTCCATTTCTTTGGACTTACTTTCCTGGCTGTTCCATTGGAAAATACCTTAAGGAATGATGAGAATGACTGTAATTACAAAATGTTACTGGATGTGATCTTGAAATAGTGAATTGTTAGTTATGGTGGTCTTGAAAAACTAATTGATTAGTAAAAGGGGTCTTGAAAAAGCATTTTGTTAGTTAAGACGATCTTGTACAGAGTGAATTATGTTTGTAGACTTTTGGGTTAATGAAGGGAAGTCTATAAATTCAAACATGGTTGGTGAACAACCAGGTAGTCATAACCTTTTCTCTGTAGACTGTAAGATCTCTGTCATGTATACCAGTCATCAGTTTGATCATGCATTTCTACATCACACGGAGAGGTCCAGCTGTATTAACACATAGAAATTAATCATTGATAAGGCCTATTTGATTCTTAACATTGATATATATTTTTTTTTTTAGAAGAAAACAAAGACAACGTTAATTACTGCCTTTATGTAAGTTGATATTTTTTAGACTTGTAGGGTCAGTTCGATGAAATCCTTCCAATGCTGTCTTGCAATCAAGCATCTACAGTTCTTCGAGAATGAGGTTCCATAGGTACATGTTTGCTTTGAAAATTAAAGGTCCCAAGAGAGCTAACATTTATATTGTTTGTCCCAAAAAAGCTTGTGAATATGATATAGATTAGATATATTAAAGGATCATGTATCCTTATTAAATTTTGTCAACATCTAAGTTTTCCTTTCTGATCAGTTGCTGTTGAGACGTATCTTCTGTGTGGACATATTTCCATGTTTTGGGTGACTATTTTTTTGAATACTTTGATATGTCAGGGGACTTACAATATCAAATACATGTTTTATTTTTATGCCCCTAACATCAATATGTTTATTTCAAAGATATAAAATAATTTCTGTTCGAGACAAGAAAAAACAATTTCTGATAATTAATCCATCTTATTGTTGTCTCTACCAGGAAACCTAAGAAAAACGAGAATGGAACAGATAAAAATAATGATAATATTTTACCTAAAATCTTTCCTGGTGAACCACAAAATCCTAAACGGTAATGTACACACGGCTTGATTTTTATGTAGACCCACATAGTTGTTTAATGCTCTGTCAGTCTAACAGAGTGGTGATTGTGTTTAATCTCATTAATTATAAACTTCACTCAAAATGAGAAATAAACATACGAAAAGGAAATATTTCCCAAACATTTTATAATACTATTGTAATAGTATAGGAAACCAGGAATATTTTTTTTATTGCCCTACAGTTGGAACAATTTATGTGTGCAGGAACAATTATTTTTAAAATGTTTTTCTTTTTCTTTTTCTTCAGTAATGCATATGCATTATTTGTAGAAGCCGAGATGCCCAAGATAAAAAATGTCAAAAGTGTGGATAAGTTTAAAATGATAGGTAAGTTTTCATGACAGTGCTAGTTCTAATCTTTACAATTAATAGAGGGACATCTAGTAAACTAGATATATAACTACATGGTGTTGTGTTCTTCTCTTATTCTAGGGGGGGTGGGGGGGGCCGAATGGTTAGCTGTATCATAAGGTCTATCATTGAGTCACCTGTCAAACCTCATGGGTTTTCTCCGGGTCCTCCAGTTTCCTCCCACTGCTAAAGACCCCTACACGCAAGCGAATTATTGAAATAAAATTGAACCATATGTTAGTCCCGAAATGACCTGGTTTGTGTCCAGTGAACGTTAAACCCCATTTCTCTCTCTCTCTCTACCCTTATTCTAGCTGGATATACATGTACCTGAATAAAATTCTATTAGTCCCGTCTACCAAGTAGCATGAAAATTCAGTAGAAAAACCATCTGTTGAAGAGTTGACCTCCCAAGGTTATGTTCTGTGTGCCAAGAACACAATAATCATCAATCACAAGACTTGATTTTACTTTTCACAATTTGGGGATTACATCAAACTTAGCACTGACTACTAAATACTTGTTCTATTTTCAATGAGGTCTGAGAAGAACCTTGAGATACTTATTTGTCAGGATTCAAAAATACTATATAGTCATAGACTTGTGAACACATTCACTTTCCAAATAAATGAAACCATTACTGTTATCTTATAAATATAAAACCCCACTTGGAGCTGAAACTACTTTCTTTACATGTATAGATGTATGTTTATGTAATATACAGCTATATTTTATAAATTGACAGGTCAAAGATGGCGTGATTTATCAGATAATGAAAAACAGAAATATAGATTAAAAGCCAGTGAATTAGATGAAGAATATAAAAAAAAATTAGAAGAATTTAAACAGGTAGGGTTTTAAGTTTTGAATCTTGTTAACACAATACAGGACAAAATTTGTTATGATATATTCATAAAAGTTGGACAAATGGCATTACTTATTCTATGTTATAACCAAGTTTTCACTTGGATTTGAAAACTGACACAGAATCACATTGTCAGATATTTTCTGGAAGTTTATCCCACTCAATTGATGCACTGTATCAAAAAGTTTTGGATCCAAATGATTTCATACAGATATAGAAGCTTTATGTTGATTAGATTATTGTATAGAGTGATAGTTGGGATGATCATTCATCATAAAAGTCAAAATTTTATTAGTTTGTATAAAGTTTGCAGTACTACACGGAAGCTGAAGTGGCTCAGTGAATTAACAGTTTGATTCCAGTGTTGGTTGAAAAAGTACCCCAGAATTTCCCCCCTTGTCAGTGGGTAGAGGATGGGGGCTCTGGCAAAGACAATGTCTAGACAATCTAGGTCCATGTACACCTAGACAGATGAAATTCAAAATAAAGAGTAGACCATAGCACCTCTGTCCCAGCAAAAATTCCCTCACTCATCTCTGTATGGCTTATGTCTGTCTTTATTAGCCCAGTTGATACAGATAAGTAGGACATTAAAGATAGATTATGGGAGATTAGATAAAGAGCTGGCAGTTCTCACCATGATAGTTAAAAACTATAAAGGGAATTTGCTGAAGATTTCAGTCAAATTGATCCACTCTGACCTGAGAATTTTAGCGATTGAATTTTTCGACCTAGCCTCGATCATCATTACTGAAGTCGGTATGATAAAAAACATAGTCTCGATTATCCATTTCATGATTAAATCATGAATATAAGTTGAGCAGCAAATCGATTCCTTATCACAGGCTAGCAATGACATCGAGAGTTGATTATGGTCTGGATAAGTTAATTAATGTCTAATTTATAATTTAGATAACATTTCAGGCATAAAGACAGACCTGAAATAGGCAGATTTAGCTCTTGCATAATATATGTTTAAATACCCATTTCACTTTATTGCAGTACTACGCAAGTTTGGGAATTTAAAGGAGCTAAATTGCTAATATTTGGGACCCAGAAATTGACACAAATGGGTCGCAACGCATATAATAATGTAATATGAATGTATATAAACTGATTTACATTCAATCGTTTCTGCTTTTACTGTAATTTCTAATCAGTTATGTTCCGCAAAATGCGCCAAAGTCTAAATTAAATGACAATCTTTAGCGTCTGGTTATTCCAGTCTACACTGACAATATTTATTGCGCATGCTCTCCAGATAAGAATATAGCGTCACCATTTGACATGACTTGTGGAATATGTCTAGCCTTGTTTTTTGAGTCCCTTGATCCAAATGGAGCTGAAACGCATTATGGTATACAATTCGTGTACCAATGGTAAAATGTTTATTTTGTCTTGAATATTGGATATCAGAAACCCATCTTTTCCCTGTAAGATCACAAGACCAATGTTGATTTGACTTGACAAATAATTTGTGTTTTCAATATCGAAGATTTTTTATGATATTGAGTTAGAGACTTAGCTACTTTAACATAGGGGAAAAAAGCACCCATAAGTATTTTATTTATTATGATTTCTTTTCCATTAATTTTTAGTCTTTGGATAAAAAGTCTCTTCAAAGATACAAGATGGTTTTAGAATCAAGAAAGAAAAAAAAGAAACAATCAAGTAGTAAGTCAAATCCTGTGGTAACAGAAGTATTTGAAAAAAAAGAAACGGATGAATCAGAAGAAGAGGAGGAAGAAGAAGAAGAAGAGGAGGAGGAGGAGGAGGAGGAGGAGGAGGAAGAAGAAGAAGAGGTCAGCAGTGATTGATATATCTGATCACATACGCATGTATATCAAAACATTGTTTACACATTTAAATAGACATTTTCTTCAAAAAATATGTAAAGGTTGTCATGAGTTCTTTACACATTTGTAACATTTAATAATATTCAAATCTATCCAGATGAAGATTTCATAGTCAGGAATTATTGTTATTAATCTATATTTGTATGAGATGATGAAAACTTTTAAATAGACCTGATTTTCAAATAATGATTTTGTATAGTCCTTTTGACTAGCAGGATAATCAAAGTATTTAAAGGCTATGATTGATAGGATCTGTATCCTGTTGATATATGACAGTCAACAGTCATTTTCACTTCAAAGATGAATACTTTGACTTGCATTCTGATAACGTGTACTTTAAGACAATATTTTAATTTTTCTATTCATAATGTATGTTTTTGTTTTGAGATACAATGTGAACTTCTGTTTATTGCAAAAAATGGATTAAATTTCGAGACAAATTAATTTTTTATTTACAATAGATTTGCTATGTTGTGATTTTACAAATAGCAAAACCAGACATACCATTTGAACAAATATCATTTCATTTCTGCCTGTAAAATAAGATTCATTTTAACCACCAGTATTTTTCTTTTTAAAATCGTGTTTCCATTTTAATTCATGTTTCATAAAATATTTTATTCTTAGCTGTGAATTCAGTTTTAATTTTGTTATTGAATTGAATTGATTTTATATTTAATTTTAAAAAGTAAAAATTGCTGGTCTCAAAATGAGTTTTTGTGAGATTTTTGTTGTTATATGTGAATTATGCTTTCGGATTTCCGATTAATTTGTCGAATCTGTGGTTAAAATGTATTTGGCCTAGAAACTGTTAATTGAGAATGTTCGATAAACATGCATAATATTTTTTCCTGCTTTAGTAGGAAATCCTAGGTTTTTTATACACCCACATAGAAAATTGATTGTATATTGTCGTCATTATTGTCAGACTGTGTAATTGACATGCACAATTTCTAGTGGACGCTCTGTTTTATTTATGAGAGGGTAGAATCCTATGATTTTTGATGATTTGTGATAATTACTGCTAGCATTACAGCCCTTGGTCACTTAGAAAAGATTATCATCTAATTGATTTAAAATGTATTCACAGTATTCAGTAGTCTATTTCTTTCAACTATTTCTGATAGCTCGAACAGTTAAATTTCTCATCTTATTATCGTTACATGTTTTGTTTGTGTTGGTGCTAGGAACAACTGGAAGCCTGTCAAAATTAATTATTCCTGATAATATTTGATCAGTTTTTAATATCTTGCTCCCATAACCTACAAAAGAATAAAAATGCGACAGTCTTCATGGATGTATGTTTTATTGTCTGGCAACCTATTTTTATCTGAAATATAGTCCATGCTCTTGGTCAATGTTTCATTTATGTAAACCAGGAAATTAATGCCAGCAAAGATCAGTCACATTAATAACATGGAATTTTTGTTTGAAAGTATTTATTTCTGGTTGAATAATTGTACTTCTAAGACTGCCTTCCAATCTGATTAAAATTCAAAAATTTGACTGAATGACAATTGCAAGTTTAGTTTTGTCTCTACTGCTCTAAAGATAATCTTTAAGTTATATTTAGTAACCGGATAAAGTAGTAAACAAAAACACATAGTTTTGGAAAACATCTACCATACTACAATATTGAGGCAACTATCAATATACTAATAACTGTTTTTCATAAGTACTGGTATGTGTTTTTGTTTTTTGCTCTAAAGATGTCGCCCATTATTAGGTGCCTACCACCTTGGTTAGCAGCCCTGCATACAGCACAAATTGGCATTAACTCAATCCTTTGCACAGAAAGCATTTCATTTCTGCATCGTTTTTCTTCTGGCATTAGTTCTGAACTTTTAGAGATATACAAAGAGAGAAATGGGGTGTAACAGCCACTCGACACAAACTAGGTCATTTTGGGACTAATTTCATTTCAATAATTTGCTTGCGTGTAGGGGTCTTTAGTCGTGGGAGGAAACTGAAGTACCCGGAGAAAACCCACGAGGTTGGACTGGTGACCCTACTCCTTGTCGGGTACAACTGGAAAATCTGAACTTTTAGTGGCACCAGTGACAAATTTAATGTAAATGATTTTTACTGTTTAAAATATTAAATTAAATTCTTGTCATATGTATTAACTCATATTACTGATCACTCTGAAGGGCTGTACATACTACAATGTTTTATTCACAAATATTTGAACCAAAATATTTTAAAGATTTAAACTGAAGCTGCAAGTTAAAATCCTAGTACAAAATTTAATTCTTAGCCAATCAAAATTTTATTTATTGGACTAACAAGGTATATCATTAAGGATTCCTGGGCGACCTTCGGTTGCACGGATTTTCGTTCTATAGTTCAACCTGTGGTCGTGACCAGCCATACCATACGATAGAGGATGGTTGGGATAGTTCAGACTGTAGTCGCAACGATAGTCTACATCCGAAGGTCGCCCAGGAAAATCCCACTAAGTTGGACATTCGATCCTACTGATTGTCACATACAAGCCTGGGAACAATACCAGGACGCTTGGCTCAATGTCAGTCCTTATGATCTAAAGTTTATTTAGCAATTGGGGGGTTGGATGGCTGAATGGTTGGCGTGCGCGCGCTGTATCATAAAGTCTGTCATTGAGTCGACTGGCGTGGTTTCGAATCCCCGGTTGTACGTGGCAAGGAGTAGGGTCGCCTGTCCAACCTCGTGGGTTTTCTCCGGGTCCTCCGGTTTCCTCCCACTGCTAAAGACCCCTACGCGCAAGCGAATTATGTCAATAAAATTGAACCATATGTTAGTCCCGAAATGACCTAGTTTGTGTCGAGTGGACGTTAAACCCCATTTCTCTCTCTCTCTTCTCTTATTTAGCAATTCTTGTTAGTGTAGTTGGTGATTTAGCAAAGATTTAAAGCAGTGTGTAGAGTCCTTAAGACTATGTTTTTTGTTATTTATCACTTCTATATTTAAGTCTATTTTAAGATTACTAGTTTAAAGATTGGGTGAAGGGCAGTATTAATTATTTAATAAATTAAATTAAATATTTAAATTCAAGTTTTTAACAGTTTTTTTGCTGAATTAAGTTATTAGATCAAATAATTACTGTATTTGTTGATATTAGATCAAATAATTACTGTATTTGTTGATGTTTGTGTATTGGTCTCCGGGTCTGAAATACATAGCCAAGTTGCCGATTTCATACACCATAAATGTAAAGTTTTAATTTACATACATATATCATTCTATTTACAAAACTAAAAAACAATTGATTGTCATTTGAGGAATTTTGAATCCTTTGCAAAATACAATATTGTGAAAGTTTTAATTTCTGAAAGGATTATCAGTTAATTTGTGCTGACAATGTAAACAGGCCAACATCACCTATAATCTTTGGGTAAAATCATTTGATGGGCCTCTACTGCTTAGATTCCTGCTTGGTATACATTGTCTGTGTATAAAATGTAAAATATTAATAAAATATATCAAAATCAAAATTTGTTGAAGGATAGATTAGCAATCTGTGGGGAGTGACAAGAACTCCACTCCTATACACATGCTAGCTAAGCTGGAAAATTATTGTCACAAGATTCTGCAGGGCAAAAAAAGTCTCATTATCAAACTTAGATGAGTTATTGTGTACCAAAAATTTTGACAAGATTTCTATTGTCTCCTGCTTTCTTCCTTAAACCACAATGAACAAAACCCACCAGGTTTTAAATATTATATGAAGACCTCAGACCTGTATGTCATTAACAGTGGGTATAACTGCTTGAAATGTGATCGAAAAATTCTGAATTTCAGTACAAACACAGGTGAAGACAATATACTAATGTGACTATAAATTAACAGTATGTTACTCTCTAGTCTCAAAAGAGTATGTACAGTACTGGTATGTTAAATCTAATTGTAATTGAGATAGAATGTTCAAACTTCATACAAGTTCTAATTAAGTGAGAGTGATGAAACTTGGTGTATAGTTTCATCACATCAATACCTTGACTATGTTCAATAATGAGCAATTTGATTGGTCGAGACTTTGGAACACCATAACTTGTCTTCTAATTGAGGTACAATGTTCAAACTTGGCGTAGGCATTCATTAGGTGAAGCAATTTGATTGGTTGATGGTTTGGGACACAATAATTTTATTTCTAATCAAGTGAGAGTGACTACATGTAAGTTCGATAATAATCAATTTGAATGGTCAAGACTTTGGAACATAACTCTGTTTTTAATTGAGGTAGAATGTTTAAACTTGATGTACATGTTCATAAGGTGACTGAATTCAATGATTAGCATTTCCCACTAAAGGAAGGCAGAGCTAAGCAGTTTCATTGGTCGATGCTTTGGGACAAGATTATTTTGATTCTAACCAATGGAGAGTTATTGAATGCATAGTTTCACTACCAGGTACTTCAAAACCATGACTGAGTTTGATGTAAACATTTTCTGCTTAGATTAAGTATGGATAATCAGCTGATTGCTCAATATGTTTGAAAAAGACAAATGTGCAATTAATAAATATGTGTCATCTATTTATTTTGGGATTTGACAGGGGACATCAGCCTCACTGTTGGCTGTTTTTATTGCCCTAGCTCAGTTTGTAGTATCTTGTCAACACAATGACAACAAAAGTTATCATGCAATCAACTTGAATTTAAAATACAATGTTCTAGCTATATAAGTTATCACCTGTTCTACCTAAAATTGACATGCATTGTTCATATTCGTGAGTGAATAAGCATATCAAATTACAATATTTTCTTTTAGAGTTACAGCAATTGGTCACATAAAACCATATCCATTTTTAAGTTCTTCTCTTATTGTGGGATGGCTAAGTTGGTAAGATGCTGGCTCGCTAACCTGGAGGTCGGGTGCTCCATCCCTGCTTTTCCCCCGAGAAAGTTCATCCCATTTTCCCGCATGGTTCCCCCTTGTCAGTGATGCAGGACGGAGGGCCTGACAAGGAGAGAGAGAGAAATGGGGTTTAACATCCACTCGATACAAACTAGGTCATTTTGGGACTAACATGGTTTAATTTTATTTCAATAATTCGCTTGCGCGTAGGGGTCTTTAGCAGTGGGAGGACCCGGAGAAAACCCACGAGGTTGGACAGGCGACCCTACTCCTTGTCACGTACAACCAGGGTTTCGAAACCACGCCAGTTGACTCAATGACAGGCTTTATGATACAGTGCGCCGTGCTAACCATTCAGCCATCAACCCCCCCCCCCCCGACAAGGACAGCTGTCTAGTTCGGAGCAGAACAGTAGGGCGTTAAACCCCATTTCGTTCTATTTCATCTCTTATTATGGGAGCCATGGTGGCTCAGCGAGTAAAGGCACTTGCTCACTAACATGGAGGTCTGTGGTTTGATTCCAGTATTGGCCAAGGAACTTCACGGGATGCAGACGGAGGTCCTAGCCAGGAGAGCATTTGATAGTTCAGATGGGACAAAAAAAATGAGGTCCCATGTACACTTAGGCTTGCACAGAAAAGAAGCCTTCAGAGTGGGAATTCAAAATAAGAGCAGGCACTGTATGGCGTACGCCTGTCTTCATTAGCTCAGTAGGCATTATTAAAACCCATTCCTTTTCATTTCTCCTATTGCGTTGAGCAAACATGTTAGCTAATGACAATAAATGAAAGTGAAAGTAATATTATTTTTTAATATTTTATTTAACGTGGAAGGTGATGGAACTAGATTTTGTTGAAAGCAGCAATATCCACACTTTGAACCTAAAATGATAAAACAAAAACAGTTGATTAAATTATGCTCGTAAATATACAATGTTGTATTTGATCATGTTTTGTAAAAAGATTAAGATACACAAAATGTGAAGTTGTAACATATATATCTGAAACGCCTGACCTTTAACACCAGATAATTTGATCGCCAGTATGAATGATGGAAGTCTTATTTTTCTGCACCATTCTTCATACAGTGTGATATGGGAGAAATTTTGCTTCCAAATGTCATGGGATCTCCAAATGCTATACAAGAAAACTCAGGTTTTTTTGACAATCCTGCCTGGAAAATCCTGAGGAGCTGTGTCAGCACTGGAATTGAACCCTGGAACTTCTAGTCAATGAGCAAGAGCACTACTCAATAAGCCCCCAAGTCTTCTATAGTGTTTTGTGGAAACAAAAGACTGAATACAGCAGAAACTGTACATATGTGGGCTCACAAAAATAACTTACAAAATCTTCAAATTCCTGTATTTTATCTGTTAACTCTTCTATACTGACTTTATCATCCTCTACCACACACATAATCTGTAGTTTCATTATACCATAACCTACAGGTGCTAGTTTAGCTACAAAAAAAAATAATAAACAGTTATGTTAGATTAGATATTGACTTAATGATAAATGCATTACTCCTCACAGATTTATATTTGCTTATTAATTTATAGAGTCTAGTAAACAGTGTTGATTCTAATATTATACAGATTGTACACTACCCTATTGCCTTTCGAAATTTCATAAAAAATAATGGTTTTAATTATATGAATGACCAAACTTTTATTAACGAGCTAAATTGGGTAATGCAATTCATCAAAAATTTGTCAGTTATGTAATCTAAACATAGGATAATTTAATTGATCATTTCCTCATGTTAACAATCAACTCCTGATTAACATAGTATTGGTCTGATGATCAGTCTTGAAAAATTGGTTTTGGTTTCATAGTAGCATTTTTAACCCTTTAAATTTTTATGAAAAAGACTTCAAAGTAAATGCTAAATAAATTATTTCCCCTATCCCAATGAAATTATCAAACTCTAAACACAGTACATACCTGCTCCCCATCTTAATCCAGGCATCTCTATTGTTCGAACTTTTTCTTCCACAATTTTCATATCTGTTTCATCATCCCATGGTTTAACATCCAGTACAACATTAGATTTAGCAATTAGAACTGGTTCTGTAGAGAGAGGAAAAGATTAAAACATAATTAATGAGGTATATCTCGATCAGTTCCTCAACTCAAATCAAGAAAGTAATGAGTTAAATGCGGCACATAAATTTCATTACACATCCGTTCCGTAGACAGTGTCAGATTTATCTCTAAACTTGGCAGACTGGAGCCTAGGGCCTCAAAATCTAGGGGGCCTCCAATCAATGTGTTTAATTTTTTTGACAGTCATTGACCTCTCTTACTCCAGACACAGTAGTTTTTAACAAAACAGTACACTTTGAGGGTCATGAGTTTGGTTTCTGTTATTGCTTTATTTTCTCAATTATTTAGTCTTTAGGAAAGACAAAGAGGAATCCAGGACATTAAACTTACTGTCTGATTTTTTGGCTTTGTAAGCTGCAATTCGTTGTGCTTTTAGTTCCTCAGCTGCCTTATCCTAAAAATGTAAACAAATAATTTTATTTCAGTCATACAAGGGTCCCTTTTCCTAAAATATTTCGAAGAACACAGCCCGTTTTTTGGCTGCGCACTCACAAAATGGATTCAAATAGGGTTTAATGTCTCGTCCACCCGATGTGAAGTATGAAAATTTTGTCTGGACTGTGGCGTTTCCACCTACTCTTCCTTTTATCAACAGTTTTTCATTCCATTTGAACGAATAGTCATACTTTCTTTTTCTGGCACAATGAGTAAAGGCTGAGCTACCGCGGCTCTCTTGTCCAATGGAAAGACAAACTTCTTATTAGTTTAAAGACTGAGGATGAGTAGGAAATTAGTTTATATTCCAAAAATCTCAATTAGAATTATGAATTAAAATCATCAATTTCTAAAAAACAGGAATGTGACAAAACATTTATTTTGATTTTCAGTTTCATCTCTTGCTTTCGTTTTTCATTCCATCCCAGGAAACAATTTACTTGTTATCCCCTTGTATGCAGGAATGGGAATCCAAGATTTGAATATGAGTTATTTTAGTACTGCAGTCCCCTGAAAAGGGTATAAAAAGCCAGATAAAATGTTCTAACCCAGCCAACAATATATAAATATATATAAATACCTCATCTTCATCATCATCAAATAATTCAAAATCATCATCATCGTCGTCATCATCAGCTTGGGCTGCAGCTTGTTTAGAAGGAGCAGATTTACCTGGGGCTGAACCAGACCCTCCCTCTAACACACAGATTCTTTTCTCTAACTGAATTGTCAGTTTCCGTAAATCATCAGTTGCTGAATTAACAATTTAATTATTTAACCAGAGTACATTAATTAGATCACTTATATAATAAGGAAGGAAATTACAGGGTTCCCGCGGTTTCGTCAAACATTTTTTCAAGGATAAATATACGTTAAATTCAAGGATTTTCAAGACATTTTTTAGCCTAAAGTTACAATTTTTCATCTTAAAAATAACCAAAACATTACAATTATCGTTATAAAACTTCTAATCTAAAAAGGATTTTCATATCAACTTACTATTATTACCAATTTGAAACAAAATTAAGGATCTCAACTGAAATTCAAGGATATTTTCCTATTTCCGCGAAATTCAAGGATATTCAAGACCTTGAAAATGAAATTTTAAATTTAAGGATATTCAAGGATTTTCAAGAACCGCGGGAACCCTGAATTATGTTTTACACATACTCAACACTAGTGCCGATATCAGAGAAATTTTAATGCATGGACGCAACAAAAGCAAACCTTGATACTTGCATGAATGCATTGTTAAATCTGCTTGTCATCGAAATTAAATTACTTGGATTGTTATATTACAAAAACAAAGTATATAACATTCAGAGTCTTAATGCTGTGTCGCAGCAACATAGCTCAATTGAAGATAAATTATTGGGACAAAATGTTGACTTGTGTTTGGATTAAACCTTTTATCATAATAATTCAATTATCAAGCTATTTTCAAATGACACCCACAGATTGGATTTTACATGAATTTTTTTTTTATTTTATTATCTTGCAATCAATTCACAGCAAGTAGACTATTATACCTTCAGCTAATAATTGCTAAAAGCACTAAAACAAAGTCTTTTGCTAACCTTTTCTTAATTCTTTGTTTTCTCTTTCTAAAGCTTCAATTCTACCAGTATCCATCGTACTGCCTCCCTGTAATAACAATAAAACACAAAATCATCATACAATTTGTATAAAACATACAATCATTTAAATTGTTTTCTTCCAAACAAAACTGTCAATGCCACATTTTATCTGTCAATACTGTGCACAATGTTATTATTGGAGAATTCAGACTCGGGCTCACACATTCAGTTTGTCTGCCAAGCCATATTTTTTTCTGTTATAATTTTTCACTGAAGTCTATTTAACATTTATCCTAGCATGTTGGGCTTAAAAAAATATGTATTAACATTTTTAAATTGCAAACAAATAAACAAAACCAGACAGCTGCAATAAATCATGAATTAACATCTAAACTACATACAAACATTCATTTACAGACAATTCTATTACATCAATTACAGATACAGTTCCTCAACAGACAAAATCCAAATACATAACCACTGCCAGGAAACTGAGTACTAACATTTAATGGTTTTTTATTACTAATAAGTATTCAAAATAAAGGCTGATTTTACTGTTCAAATAATCAAAGACTTTACTGGAATGCTATTTGAATATTCTAACTAATTTGGAGAAAAAATATTTTTGGTTCTATTTAGGTACATTTTCAGATTTCTGGAATGTATAAATTTTTTAAACCAATATAATATATTCAATAAATATTTGTTTGTTTATTATGAGATATTAGTTGATTACATTAAATTAATATTAGTGAACATTTTCTGAGCAACATTATTAACCAATACCAAAAATTCATGTTCAATAGCCTTAAAAAAACCTCCTGTCTTCATTACCCCCGTAGAAGCAGAACAGTAGGACATTAAACCCCCATTTCATTTTCATTTCCCTGAAAAACTATTTGAATATTGCATACATTAAACATACATTATGCAAGAGCTAAATCTGCCTATTCAGGTTTATCTTTAGGCCTGAAATTTTTTTCTAAATTATTAATTAGACATTAATTAAAGATACATTATGGGAGATAAGATAAAGAGATGGCAGTTCTCGCTATAATAGTTAAAAACTAGATAGTGTAAAGGTAATTTTCTGAAAATTTCAGTCAAATTGATCCACTATGAGCCGAGAAACAAGCGGGTGAAATTTTTGCATAATCTCGTTCATCATTACTAGAATTATTAATATAAACAGCATAGTCTTGATTATCCACTCTTATTGATTTAATTATCAATAGCCGTTAGCGGATTATAGGAATCTAATCCAGCCAACATCGAAGGCTAGCCTTGACATCGAGAGTTTATTATGGTCTGGATAAGTTAATTATTGTTTAATTGATAATTTAGATAACATTTCAGGCCTAAAGAAAGACTTGTAATAAGCAGATTTTGCTCTTGCATAATGCATGTTTAACTGATCCAGGCCATAATCAACTCTGATGGTATCGGATTAATCCGATATTAAATAGATTAGAATGGTTCAGAAATATTTTGATTTAATCCAAAGAGATTTTGCCAGGCAACGAAACATACGCCCACAGCAGCTAAATCGTCCGGGCAGTCAACAAGTATTGTCGCATATTTTTACTTTTTTCGGTAATGAAACATTTATAATACACTAAAATCTGATTAAGAGTAACAACTCATGAAGTAATTATCAGAAAACCAATAGAATTTGTTTGGTTTTTATAAAGTTCTGCCCCATGCTAACGTTTAGTATACGAAACTTTTAATATCATGGATTTAGCTGTTCAAGTCATAAAAATTTATTGAAAATCGATATACTTGTTCGTCTCAAGATCTTAAAGTCTGTGTATCAATCTGAAGTCAATCGGATGATAACTTTAGCCTCTAGAGCATCACAAGATTTTTTAAAGTGATCAAGGGCCATAACTTTGGCAGTAACTATTGGAAATCGTTGAAAATCAATAGGATTTTTCGTCTCATGACCTCAAACACTGTGCCATAACTCTGGCAGTAATTATCGAAAATCGCTGAAAATGAATAGACTTTTTTGTCTTATGACCTTAAACACTGTGTATAAATTTAACGTCAATCGGATATTAACTTTAGCCTGTAGAGCGTCCACAAGATTTTTCAAAGTGATCAAGGGCCATAACTCTGGCAGTAATTATCGTAAATCGCTGAAAATCATTAGGATTCTTCGTCTCATGACCTTAAACACTGTGTATAAATTTAAAGTCAATCGGATATTAACTTTAGCCTCCACAAGATTTTTTGAAGTGATCAAGGGCCATAACTCTGGCAGTAATTATCGTAAATCGCTGAAAATCATTAGGATTCTTCGTCTCATGACCTTAAACACTGTGTATAAATTTAAAGTCAATCGGATATTAACTTTAGCCTCCACAAGATTTTTTGAAGTGATCAAGGGCCATAACTCTGGCAGTAATTATCAGAAATCGCTGAAAATCAATAGGCTTCTTCGTCTCATGTTCTTAAACACTGTATATAAATTTAAAGTCAATCGGATATTAACGGATGGGGGCGTCGACAATATACCACCACATTTCAATGTGGGCGTATAAAAATGGAAGAGCAAGACTTGGCTTCAAACAACCAGTACGGTAGTTTAAATGATTGTACACATTTTGTCAAACCTTTAAAGGCTAATATCTTCGCTCACAATAGAGTAATTTGAATGAAATATCAAATTATTCATTTTACATTATCTATTTTCGAATTATTATAGCAAGAATGGTTAGCTCTTTATCTAAATCTTACATAATGTATCTTTAATTCATAACTTTCGCAATTAATTTTGGCCATTAGAAATATACTCACATGACAAAAATCAGTTTTGTGGGTCTTATTATGAAAAAGGAGCAGGATCACATTTTCTATTAACTTATTCAAAACTGTTGATTTGGGATAGCGATCAATGTTGAAGAAACAGTCCAAGCTATATTTTAGTAAATAAAACTGGTGAAAAACAGCCCAAACCTTTAGCCTTATCCTGAGAAACTATATGTGAAATTTTGGACTTCTCCTTTAACCCAGTCTATTTCTAAATCATAAATCATGATAAGTAACATAATGTCTATGTAACTTTTTTTTCAAAAATATATCATTCACTTAAAGAGACATTAAGAACTTCGGAGGACATTGTCAACTAGGGGAAAAACCCTAACTTGACGCAATCGGACTGGCATGTTTCGAATAAGATGATATGCCAGATTTGAGAAAAATCTGCCACATCATCGTTAAGATATATTCAATCTAGTTGGGAAGTGACAACAAGCTACATAATGTACAACAGGCAAAGATCGTTTAAACATCACATCTCTAACATGGAAATGACATCAAGTGCTATACAACAAGCTACACACAATGTACAACAGACAAGATCATCTTTTTAACATCACAACTACATGTACTTTGGACATGACATCTGATGCTAGTGATAACGAGCTAAACAATGTACAACTGGCAAAGATAAGCCCATCTTTTATACATCCCATCTACAAACAGGGAAGTGATATTAGGTGCTACAGACAACTAGCTACACAATGTACAATAAAGATCATCTTTTAAACATCACAACTAATTATTTGAAAGTGACATAACCACAATCTATAACAAACAGAACAATATCATACATGATTCTTTACAATGTTGTTATTCCTCCATGACTATCACCGGTAGCAAAAAGAAAAAAAAATAGTAAAAATGTATAATTTATGTTTTGATCAACTGAACCTTTGATAATTTTTGGAGATAATTTATCCAGGACAGTGACTATACTGCTTACACTTATTCAATTAAAACGGTCATGGGATCTTTTATGAGCTCTTCCACTTGTGTGGACACCCACCCATCCTCATCGGCTGAGTGTTACCCTAACAGAATTATGTTGTGGAAACATTTCATATTTATATCATGACTTTCTTTAAGAATACCACAACGGCAAACTATTCAAAAGTAGTTAAAACAAACACTTTTGTTGTCAATTGTGACGACATCGTAACGCCAGGCAATCTATTTCCAAACTCTTCATGCAGTTTTCTATTTATCTTGGAAGAAACAAAGCAATACCTATAACCCATGAGAAAAAAATAGAATTAACCACAAAACCACTACACTAATGACTGAAAGTTAGCTACAGTATAAATAAATTGGGAGGGGAGAACATTCTTAAAAAATATGTAACGAACCACGTCCAGTGAAAATATCTAGAAACAATCATTTCAATATATGAGGCTGTACTTTGATTAAGAAGTTCTTTTATGAAAATGGAATGTTTCCATGATTTATGGTTTTATTAACAAAGGATTTAAATTTTGTGCAGAAAGTAAAAAGTGCTCAAAGAAATCAATCCAATAAAAGTTTTAGAATTTCATGATTTTCAGAATCGAAAGGCATATTTGATTAGAAATTCATAATCAAAAGTTTCAAATTTAAATTAACAAGAGATAAAGGATGAAGCTAAATTTAGATCATTTTAAAAATAGGTACAAAAAAAATACAAAAAGTTCAGACATTCCGTAGTTTAAGCTTATATTTTTATTTTAATTTATTGGAACTCATAAAACATCAATAACTGAATCAAATCCAAATAAAACAGGACTGAAATCTGATAATAAAAAAAAAATGGCAGGAAAATTAGTAGCACGGAAATAAGTTGAAATTAAAATATGAAAGCAACAAGCAGCAGGTTAAAGAAACTAAATTTTAAAATCTGGCCAAAATAAAAATTTCATTTTTTAATTTTCTTTCTCTGCATTACTTACGGTATTTTTTAAAACATTTTGTATTTGTTGCCTGGCTTGTGCTATTTCATTGACTAAAGAACTGGACCCAGTACTCCCCTACAAATACACAAAATACATGTACAGACAAATTTGGGACGTCACATTGCAAAAACTTGAATCCTTAAAGATGGCGGAATTGATGTAGGAAAATATTTAAGACATATATGTATTGGGATAAAATTGTGTAACCTGAAAACTATATCTAAATACAGATCAACATACATTAAAGTCTTCAGAAGGATTTTAATTAATCTAATGAGGATTTATTGGCATGTTCCAAGTACCACTGGCCTAGTACATACATGGTCATGATTGTCCTATTTAATTCATGGCAGTCATTTTTTACAGTTCTTTGCTTATTTGTAAATAAACTTCAATTGTCCCTTAAAAACACAAGATGACAAATGAAATATAAAGTAATTTTACATCAGAACAATTAAAACAAACTTTACATAAAATAAAATAACCTGCAAGTTTGGAGAGCTACCCGCCGTTCCGGCTAAAACCGATTGGTAAAACGATTCCGCGTCTTCATATTTTCTCTGTTGCATCCAAACGGAATCTTGTGTTAATGGATGACCAGTCATATTCTTAAAAATAGATGATGAAAATTAAGTTATTTACGTCGTATTAATTTCAATTAACGATTATTACCCAGTGCACAGACCCGAACCCTGAGCAACAAACTAAAACGTAATTATTTTTGTTATAGTTTGGAATGCTGACACTAAAAGAATTCTGTACAAAATTTCCAACTGATAAATAATTTAAATTTTGGTTAGAAATATAATTTATAATAATCAGTTAGGCAGTCAGGTATAGGACCAGAACTAGTTCCTAAAAAACTGGTTCAGACACAGGTGGTTAATGTATTTTGTAATATGTATGTATCTCTATACAAAGAAGTAACATGATTTCCATACATTTTAATGATGAAAATTCAGAACCAGTTCGAATCATGAATGGAAGACAACCAACTAGGAAGAAGATAAAAATAAATGTCTGGTAAAATCAAATCTAAAGTAACGTTCGGTTCTCTATTTTGTGGAGGTCAGGATCCAGATCCTGTTCAGTATCCACTTCCCATCACTGACATCAGATATCAAGTCTACTTTCTAAGGAATCCTTTCTAACAGGTATTAAATCAAAAATTATCTGTAGCTGCCTATGGTATATTTTACTTCATACAAATACAGTGTGGATTTGGCCCAGTGTCGAATGTGTCGAGTACCTGGTTGATATCTAATATGGCTTGTTATGTCCATTACACTAAAATGTTCCTTCACATTGTACAAGCATTCACAGTGACTGACGCGCGACCGTATGGCAGTAAATGATGGCAGTAAAAAGGTTTCCAGTAAGATTTACAGGGAACTGAAAAAATTTCGACATGGAATCAATAGGCCGGTTCCTGAACGTACAGGGCATGTGTAACGAGAGCTTACACGAGAGCTTACGTTCTGAGCTGAAATAGTCATTATCCTGGTTGAATTTCAAACCATTTCAATTCAAGCCAAATCGACTTCCATGTAGGCCTAAATGTGGCTTATATTAGTCATTCACAGATTCAGTGTCCAGATATTGCCAGACACCGATCCTGAACAATGTCGTAAAAGCTCGAGTTAAAGGGGCTAAATCGCTAATAGTTGGGACCTAGAAATTGACACAAATGGGTCACAATGCATATAATAATGTAATATGAATGTATATAAACTGATTTACATTCCATCGTTTCTGTCTTTACAGTAATTTCTAATCAGTTATGTTCGGCGAAATACGCCAGAAGTCTCTATCGAATGCCAATATCTAGCGTCGGGTTATTCCAGTCTACACCGACAGTATTTATTGCGCATGCACTTCAGATACGAATATGACCTCACCATTTGACAGGACTAGTGGAAAATGCCTACTGTGTGAACCATCCTAAATTTTAAACAGATTTCTTTGATTATGAACAAACTACTTAACTTTGGTTATTTTAAACTTACCTGTGTGTTTGTAATGAACTCCCGTTCGATAAAATCCATTGCACAACTAATTATCACAACGATGAGAACAAGTTCTCTCTTGAAAAATTTGAAAATTTACTTGTAATTTCGACAGAGTCGATGTCAACAATGTCTTCGTGACGTATTGGTCGAATCCAATATACCTGTTGCGGGGGTTGGTTAACATTGAAAGATAGTTTGACAGCGCGATCATTTTGATCGTATATGGGTTTTGGCGACGAAAAATATCAATTGAAGGCAATTACATAGGAGATTTATATGGAAACCATTGATCGCCAGTCTATCAAATTTTCTTCACAATTAAAATATCACTGATTGCACGGATACTCGTAAAAATAAAGTCATGTATAAACTATAAATATCCTATCTTCTTTATGTTGTCTTTGAAAGGCATTTAGTGAAAGTGATATATAATAACAGACAGCTTTATGGATGACATTCACTAGGTTTATTAACTGCAACGTTTCAATGAGGTTACTCTCACCGTTATCAAGCAATGATACCACTAGTTTATTAACTGCAACGTTTCAATGAGGTTACTCTCACCGTTATCATTGCTTGATAACGGTGAGAGTAACCTCATTGAAACGTTGCAGTTAATAAACCTAGTGAATGTCATCCATAAAGCTGTCTGTTATTATACTTCTTTATGTTATAAATAATTTAACAAGGATCATGAAGCTTACCTCCGAATTCTCTGAGTGTATTTTTAATTTTATACGCATTCTTTTTCGATCGAATAATAACCGCTTCAGTAACATATATAATGGTATATAATGCTACTAAGCCCGTATGACCCCGTAAGAAGCGGAACATTAATTCTCGATTCGACAGTTTCGACCGAAGTGTGATAAAGCCCGTAAAACGAATGTATAGTTGTGTTTGTGCGGCATGCGTGTTCAAAAGTAAATAATCCCATCCGAGTCGCTAATCAAATAATTAGAACAAAATATTTCAAAAAGTAAAGCTATAAAATTTGCAGAGATTTTACTAGAATGTAAAAGACGGTAACTAAACACAGGAATGTGTGCGAACGCTCAAACTCAATGCCAATTGTCGTAGGTATCCAGACCACTCGGACTAAAGACTACTCGGACTAAGACCAGTCGGACCAAAACAAGACCAGTCGGACCAATTAAATTATATTATAAGGCTAGACAATATGCTATTTATTTATTATTAAATCACAATACAAAGAAGCAAATAATTCTTATACGGAATTCTTATATTTAGAGTTGTTTAGTTCAATTTTGTGTACGGAAAATAAATCAACGATTAGTTTTAAAATTAATTAATAATGGTGCCAAAAAAAATATCAATCTAATTTTTCTTATTTACTCTTGCAATGAGACTCGGTATGTCCAGACTTTTGACAGTTTCTACATATACGGGTATACTGTTCTTGTCTGATAGCCTAATTTTACTTTTTCCACATTCGCGGTATCCCCAGTGGTTTCATTCCGTTCTACCCCACTAACCCCTGGGTTACTATATATGGGGGGGGGGGGGGGGGAGACACGTTTTCAAGTTATCCGCCCTTGATGCGTTAATATAAACAGCACATAATAATACGAAGACCGGACGTTTATATGTCCCTTTTTAAACGTGACTACAAGTGTGGTTCTCGATATTTTGCGATTTGGAATACAATTATCAATTTATTCAAACAACACGTTATTATTAGTTCGAGTAGTCATATTAAAACACACACAATTAGCAATTTATTCAAATAACACTTTATTATTGGTTCGAGTAGTCATATTAAAATAAACACAATTATCAATTTATTAAAATAACACTTTATTATTGGTTCGAGTATTCATATTAAAGGCTCAATACCACTCTTGTTGTAACTGAATAATATGTCCCAATCTTTATTCTGGTCAACAAATTGTACTATTTTAGAATATTTCAATTAATTGATGATACAAATTTCATCTTAACACACCTTATTTAAAAATTTTGAAATATTCAACATAATGGTTTGAAACGTCTAACATAAACCTTTTCAAATGAAACTTCGATTTAAAAATATTTTCGAACCCTCTGGACAAGTAAAATAGGATGTAATGGATAATTTACACAACAGGTAGGACACTTAAACATCTAGTACTTAGATAGAGATATTATTTACTTTCTGGAGCTCTCAAGCCAGCAAGAGTGTTATTGTCCCTTTAAAACAAACGCAATTATCAATTTATTAAAACAACACTTTATTATTGGTCCGAGTCGTCTTTCTGTTGGGTCCGAATAGTCTTTTTGTATGGTCCGGGTAGTCTATTTGTTTGGGCTGAGTGGTCTATCAGTTGGTCCGACTGGTCTTGAACCGAGTGGTCTTTGGTTAGAGTAGTCATGGATTCTTGTCGTAATTGTACTTGAATTTCCTATGCTGTCACCCCTAATACGAAATGATATCTTCCGCAGAGTGACGTAACCATCTTCCATATTGGTATTTTTCTCTGGGAAAAGTTTGTGTTATTTCAATTTTTCAAGAGAGAACTTGTTCTCATCGTTGTGATAATTAGTTGTGCAATGGATTTTATCGAACGGGAGTTTCCTTACAAACACACAGGTAAGTTTATAATAACCAAAGTTAAGTAGTTTGTTCATAATCGAAGAAATCCGTTTAAAATTTACCAAGACTCAGACAGTAGCCTATTGTTTTCGAGTCCCTTATTACAAATGACACTGAAACGCATTATGCTACACGATTCGTGTACCGTTTGTGAAATGTTTATTTTGTCTTAAATATTATTGGATATCAAAAGCCCATAGTCCCAACTGTCGTTTATATTGAGTCCCAAATGTCGTTTGTGTTGAGTCCCAATTGACGCCAATCAAGCCCCAAACGTGGTCAACTGAGTCCCAAATGTCGTTTATGTTGAGTCCCAAATGACGTGAGTCTCAAATGACGTGATACCATCTTTTCCCGGTAAGATCACAACATCAATGTTGATTTAAAATGACAAATAATTTGTGTTTTCAATGTCGAAGATTTTGTATGATATTGAGTTAGAGACTTAGCTACTTTAATCTTAAAATCAAGCAAAATATTTAGAAATTTTTGGTTCTGTATTATTACGGCTTAGATAGTACGTAACGTTGACCCGGCTACTTTTTACTTCCTCACGATTTCACAAGATTTCTACTACTAACCCTAACCCTAGAGTAGCCGGATCAACGTACTGCGAGATTATTTCTAAATAGAGTAGAAATAGTTTTCAAGGGTATGATTATTTATTAACTGCTAATTTTTGCAATGACTTACGCTGTGTAAGTTTTCAACCAGCTTTACACTTCCACGAGTTTAGTAAAAGGAAGTGGGTAACTGTAGAATGGTAGATGCGCAGAAATTAGAATTATATACAAAATAATTTTTTAAAAATGATATTACCTATGAGCAGAAGATACAGCGAAATGGTTTTGTCATTAAATAAATAGAATTCAAATTCTAAATATTTCTTAAATACATGCACCCTTTATATCTAATCACGCAACAGCAAATGATTAAGAAAATCAAAAATGGCTGACAAAGAACGAGTTCCAAATACTCTCCCGCTTTCTCGTGTAAAAACAATTATGAAAAGTTCTCCAGACGTGTCAAGTATCAGCCAAGAAGCTCTTCATACTACAGGCAAAGCAACTGTATGTTGGTTTATTTGTTTTATTAATGAATTTGTTCATTCTGAGGACTTTGTCTCTTATTTAATAAATAAACTTTATGATAAAGTCCCTACAGGGGAAGCAACTCGTTCGTTATTGAAAGATTTTTAAAGATCTGGACTGGAAAGTGTCATTTGATGTGTAGTGTGTTGACCGACAGGACAAACCATTTACTTGTTAATATGTAACAGGCATTGCCTGAGTAGAGCGAAGCTGATTATTGTCAAATAAAACCTTCATCATTAATTTTCTCAAGTGATACAAAAAATGTTAAATAATTTAGTTTTTCAAAATTGATTTTTATTTAGATCTAAATTTTATACATTAATTTTGTTTTTAAAAAAAGAACAAAAAATTGTGAGAATTATTTTCATTGATGTAAAAAATATGTGACGTCATTGATTAGATGCGTCATAGAAATCTTCGATGAGGCGCATAATCTCGCTTGGGCGAGATTTGGTGTGTAGAATTATTTTTGTAAGTTACGTCATAGATATGGTTACGTGATCTCGTTTGGTCGAGATTTGGTAAGTTGACATGCGCATTGCCTATTTTGCCCAGTGTATCCGGTTCCGATCTGAAATTTTTTTTAATCAACAGTCTGTGGGTGACATTTTCAATTACGCTCCTGTGTTACCGGAAAAGAGCTTCGCTCAAGCACCGCGCTTAGAGCTTCGCTCTATATTACCTACATTTTACTTTGAATTCTTTTTCAGCAAATTAGGCCTATCAAATTCATCCAAGGAATTGCAGTGATTATTGATTTGTTATTTTGAAGTTTATATAAATGATTGATATATCAGTTGGGTTATAAACCATCCATAACGGCCAAAATAATTGGTTACAACGGCTAAAGAAATTGGTCATAACGGCTAAAGAAATTGGTCGTAACGGCTGCTCGGATTAGGTTCTCAGGATTTTCTCTGAATGGATTGGAGATGTCCATTTCTTTTACTTTTAGTTGATTAATGTTTATCTCATATATTACCTAATCAGATCAGAGGGTGTGAAGTATCAGTCAGTTGATTAATTAGTACTGACCTCTTTTCTTTGAATTACAATTACACTTTACAGCATGTAATTTTCCGGGTTGGCTAATTTTTCCATTGACAAATTCTTCAGGACACATGATTTGTATAACTTTAGCATCACATCGATATCACCACTATACTATGTGGTCATAAGGCTATAAACCATAATGACCGAAATTAACTTTATTACTGATTCTTTTCTTTTTTGCCAAAGGGAATATTTTCTCACCACATCTAACACAAATTTATAATAATTCAACACTATTTTCAAGTACATGTATAATTTTGCGATTAAAAAAAACACTTTTAACATTTGAACTGATGCACTATTAGGGACTCGAACATGCACAGACTGCATTTGTTTTAATCGCAAAATTCTACTTGAAAATAGTGTTGAATTATTACAAATTTGTGATTCCTTTTAGCGAAATAAAAAAAGAATCACAGTGAAAAAAAAAGGTGAGGATCCAAAAATAGTCTTAGAACAGAGGTGGGGACGATCAGTATTTCCATATTGCAGCTTAATACTAATAGGGACAGATAGGAATGGTGAGAGGACAGCATCCGATCAGAGACCGTTCCTAAAGGAACTACAGTGTATGGTCAAAACAGCCATTTTGGCCCTTGTTACCAAAAATTTTGGCTATTATGTTTTATGTTTATATGGGCGTTATGTCCATAACCTGTACAAGACAACAAACTGTGTTATATTCTATAGTATCGGTATTGGGTAAATACTAAATACAGTGAATAAGATATTATATGAATAAAAAAATGAATAATGGTGAGACATTGAGATTGAGCATTTACCAAACTGTACAATTTGGGTAAATGTTCTGTGAATGAATACATTGTTACATTTATACAAGAACTAGGCAATGGGTTATTAGAAATAGATGATACTACTAGTACTAGTGGAAAACTAATCATACCCTCTCTGTCTTGTCTTGGGTTATCATTGTCACTGTTTATCATCTTTCACCGAAATATGGTTGTGTAGCAGGGCAGTTCTTTCCTTTTTGAAAACTGGCAATGGCATCTGTTGATCAGGGTTATCTATAACCAACCCACATGCAAATCTCTACAAGTTGGATTTGTGGATTTATCACAATAATTTAATGTTGTTGTTTTGTTTTTTTCTTCAGGAGTTATTTATACAAGCATTAGCTAAAGTTTCTCTAGAAAAAAGTAAAAGTGATCAGACTGAATTGTCTTATAACGATTTGGCAGAAATTGTCAACTCAGAGGAAACTTTACAGTTTTTACAAGGTTTTTTGAAACTTTCTTTTTTGTCATGTTAGTTAGTGATTTTATGATCAATTTTGTAATGGAAACCCTGACAACTTTGATCTATGTCCATAAGCAAGCAGTGGTAGTTGTGGACTATGAACAGTAGTAAATGACAGATGTATCTTCTTGCTGTCTTATAAACGAAGGACTCACAACAAGAGCATCTGTTTCTGTCTTACAATTGCATTTGGATCTGAATTTCTGAACCAATTCAGTTATAGTGATCCATTTGTTTAATTGTTTTTCATACATTTTCAGATTTCTAGATACATTTAACTGAACAAATTTTAACTTTCTTTAAAAAAATATTGTTTCTAGATATTCTTAGGTACACTGATGACGAATAAGCTTTAAAAAGTGTTTCTTTGCTTTGGTTCTTTCATCTTAGGTGTTTGTTTTGGATCGTGTTAGGTTTTTGTTTTATACATACCCATACTATTCTGTGATGCTTTCAGACATAATTCCAAGAAAAATTAAAATGTCAGAGTATTATGATTTGATAAAAGAAGAAGAGGAAGAAGATGAAGAAAAAGAAGAGGATGGATCCTGATAAATGATGTGTTAGATTTTATTTCTTTCAAGAATTTACTATAGATAATACACAATGGGGATCATACCATTACTGGTTATTTGCTTCTATTAATGGTTAGTTTGTTAGTAGTGGTGATTTCCATATATGTCACTACCTGATTAGTAAATACCATTTGATACACTGCTGTCAACTTGTTGTAGAAAAAGAGATTCTTTACTCTAACCGGCCTATTAACAAACATGGAAGAAATGTAAAGGGAAACAACTCATGTATCAATTGTTTCAATGGCATGTAGAAACACTCCGGACACAATTTGAACAAAACAATTACGTATACGGTACTGTTCATTATTTACACAGTTTCAAGTCAAGTACATGTAATACAATTACTGTTTATATTACTGACAAAATTTCAAGCCAAGTAATACAATTACTGTTTATTACAGACACAATTTAAAGTAATATATTTACAGTACTGTTTATTACTGACACAATTGCAAGTAATACAATTACTGTTTATTACTGTGAAACTTTTGACTAGGTTTCTCAATCTCAAGGAAATTATGTCATTATTAAACAGTGACTGTACATGTGTGTAACATTTACCCTGTGTATATTAAATCATATTTCATAAAGTGACTCTTTCAAAAATCAGTTGATTCTTTGAGTTTATACTAGGGTGATAAAAGTTGTGTTTGTATATAATTCATGTGTAAATATTCATAATTCAAATTAAGATAGAATAAATCATCCCAAATCAAACAACTTGGTCATTCATTGTCAAATCAACTACAGGTAGAACCTTGCCAGGGAACAGATTTTTATCAAATTATAAATCATTCTAAAAAATGTGTCCATGAACTTTGATCTCCGTGGATATCCCCCACCCTCACCTCCCCACCGGTGTTCAATAGAACCCATCTTACTCTTCAGCGTAGAAATTCATAAAAATATTCTCTTTACACAGGCCTTTGACACAATATTATATTTGCCGATTATCAATTTGCAAAATAAAAATTTACTAAAATTGATTTTCTTAAATTCTAGTAAATTCATATAGTATATTATTATCTTACATTCCGAAGCTTACTCCATCATTACATAATATTCGTCATTTTTTTTTGGGGGGGGGGACAACTTGCATTCTCAAGTATATTCATTGTGAAGTTACTCTTCATATTACATGTGCACAGTGAGGGGATGGGGGCCCATGAACAATTGTTATTCTTCCCAATGAACTCAAAGTCACGGACATTAATCTATGTTGTCAATTTCATACAGTATATCTGGAGTACCATTAGTTTAATTGTGTAATAGTACCGCTATGTGGACTTTACAAGAGCGGCGCACCAACATAACCATGACAAATTCACTATTGTTTGTTTCCAAAATAGCAAACATTCGTCATAGAGCATGACACCCAGTGGCACGCTTTCCATTGGGATATTTAGAAATTTGCTTTTTGGCTCCAAAGTGATGGTCCATGAAAAACAAAAGAAAAATGTTGCATAGATTCTGAAAAGATTTAAAAGAGGTTTCTTTGATGGTTTGTTGACTGAAAGTTATCAGGATTTTCCACCGTGGTTGCCCCTTGTCAGTCGTGCAGGACAGAGGGTTTGGCAAGAGAAAATGTATAATCCTTCAGATGGGACAAAAAACATGTCCTGTGTACCTCTTGGCATGCACGCAAAAGAACCCTTGACAGTTAGAATTTGATATACTGGTAAGAGTAGGCCATAGTGTCGCTGTCCTGACAAAATTTCACTCATCATAGCATGCTGTATGGCATATGTCCGTCTTCATTAGCCCAGTAGGAGCAGAACTGTATAGGCTGTTAAACCTCATTTCATTTAAATTCCATTTCGTTGATGGTATATAAATTATTTTGGTACATAATAGATATCCTTAATTTCTTGTTTGATAATAGTGGTGGGTTTTTATTTTTGCATTTTTAAGGAAATTTTATATATTGATTTGGCTGAAGTGGGACATTTAGACGCCATTTCAGTAGGCCTTTTCAAGTTTTCCTGGCAGAAACATTAGACTTGGTTTATCACTGATGATACCCAACAACCCACTTCCTAAAGCCTAGCTTACAACTCACTGTACGTGTTTTGACACGCACAGGTCATAGGGTTTGACGCACTTGTTTACTAAAAATTCCCCCTGTAGACTGTCCATAGAAGCTCATGGGGCGAGTTGTGAGCTAGGCTTCTGGATTCCAGAAAGGATATACAGTAATCATGCAATTGTGTAAACTTTTTTAAAAGAAAGTACAAATGTGTTCAGTATTAAAGTGTTGGTCTAGTTTTATGCCTTTTCCACAACAAAAAAAACAACCCACAATCTGTTATAAATTAATATTTTATTTACAATAAATGAATGAAATATATTTACAAAGATGATATAAAAATATTGACACCAAGTGGTATGTCATTTTTAAAGAGATCGATTTCTTGAACATAACAGTGTACAAGAATACTACAGTAGAAAATAACATACATGTATCTCTAAATTAATCTATAAATTATAATGAAACTATGAAATAAATATCATTGCAATAAATATTACATTAAATAAATATCATTGCAATAAACAAATATAACATTAAATGAATAGTATTGCAATAAATACATTATACTGTAAAACAAGAAATTAATGAGAACAAGAAATTAATGCTTTAAAGGAGAAGTTTCAGGTATATTTTAGTAAATAACACTTGTTAATGTGCTTCTTGCAAACTTTTATCCTAGCCTTTGGCATCCATCTTGAGCTATGTGATACTTTTTTGAAGAAATACAAACTTTCAGTAGAGTGGATAGTATGGTTGCATTTATTGAGCCACTCAAACATTTGAAGAAAGAAAGTCTAAAAATTACTAACATAACCCGTTAAGCAAATCTAGCTATCATTTCAGAACAGCTCAATATTTTGATATGAAATTTTCTGTTATTTAAAATAGGTTGTATCGGCCTGTGTAATATGGGACTTCCCCTTTTAAACATGGACCATCACAGATTTCATTAATTTCTTGTCTTAAAGAATACATAGATCAACCTTTTAATCAGGTCTGACTGTTTTGAAGAAACTAAAATTGATGTATATATGTATGTAGTCTTTTGTGTGCTTTAATGAAACTGGCAACAAGAGGACTCTTTACTCCAACCAGGAAACTAATCACATGTACTACAAATAATACTGTATATGCATATCGTTTAAATATCACAGCTAATTTAACAACTTGCAGTTAATTTCTGAATTAATTGGAAACAAAAAGAACATTCACCCAATTGTCATATAATCAATCTAATTAAACATAAATACTGTTTTGTTTGCTATGGACCACATTCTTTTTTATGGTATAAGAGATTAGCCAATGAAATGGCGTGTTTAGTCTGGCTTTCAAGGTGTTTTGGACATTAGTATATTTCATATGTTAAACTAACATTGCAGGAAAAATGTTGGACATATAATATTTAAGAAAATCTGTCACGTGGTTACAAATCACAGTGTGGTTCAAATAGTAGTTTCGACATGACACATCTGATATAAATTGCCAATGATAAATCATGAAAAGGTACCGTTTCAAGATAAGCCATAAATTAATTGTGAATTTCTATCTTTGGTACATGATTAGAAAGATGTTAAATACAGTTGCATCCTGCGTGTTTAAATTAAATTGAGTGCAAAATTTAGGACAAACCAGTCAAGGCATTAACTTTCAAATCTATGAGATATGCCAATAGTTAGTGGTGTTGAGGAGTTTGAGGAAACCCAGAGTAAAATGCTCTTAAGTTTGTCAGTGCTGATATAGAGATTGGGTCATGTCATGATATCAATGATGCAGAATATATATATCTCCATAAAATATAATCAGGATGACTGAGTCACAAAATTCACAAGATGTTAGTACCACAGTAATTAATGCCATGAATTTCATTAAAGAGTCCAAAAGAATAACATCCCATTTCAGAGTTTAACAGACATTGTTGCTTTGACATGAAGCTTCCCTTGGTTATAACTCATTCTCTAGTTCAGCCAGGAATCTCTGTTCATCCATATCATATGAGGGGAGACGGCTCATCCTGGAATTAAGATAATTTTATATAAAAGTATGATAATAGTTGTCTCCCTTGAGTATAGCCTGCCGTGGCATTTACATCAATATAAGGTCCCTCTTCCCTCACTGGGGGGTTGGATGGCCGAATGGTTAGCACGTGCGTGCTGTTTCATAAGGCCTGTCATTGAGTCAACTGGCGTGGTTTCGAATCCCCGGTTGTACGTGACAAGGAGTAGGGCCGCCTGTCCAACCTCATGGATTTTCTCTGGGTCCTCCGGTTTCCTCCCACTGCTAAAGACCCCTACGCGCAAGTGAATTATTGAAATAAAATTGAACCATATGTTAGTCCCGAAATGACCTAGTTTGTGTCCCTCATTTCCTAGTAATTTATGACCACTGTTGCCAATGTATGTCATATTACTCATATATATGAGTTTCAAGCTATCTTGGTTAACTTTAAGAAACTTTTAACTATGGTTATGAACCAATTGTTGTCGAACTTGGTTATAGCCTGATGACAACAATAGCTATTATAGCTGTATCTTGGTTGTTGCTAAGGCTACCATTATAGGAATATATGGGGAAAGCTACCACATGATTTAACTGTAATTTATCGACTGTACAAATACAGTTTGAGAACTGCATTAAAAAAAATATATAATCTTACTTTCTGTTGATAGTTTCTTTTTGTAAATCTTTTTGTAAATCTTTCTGATAAATACCATAACTCTCATCTTGTGATTTTAGGTAACGTGGTGTCTCGAACTCTGTAATGTTTTTTTTAAAAAAAACAAAACATTTTATCAATGAATCAAAACATTTACATAAATGGCACAATAGTTGGGGGATAAAATAATACTATATTATGCCCGCAGCAATATACTGGAAAGCGTTATTCTATATCACCTTGCCTTTGTGATCGCTGTTAAAAACTATTGTACGTCAACAAAAAAATAATAGAGACTGACAATCATACAAGAGCTCAGAGCCCCCCAATAATTTGGCCGCAAGTACTCTTTTATCCAGGTTATTGCACGAAAGTAACTAATCAGTTAGATACGGTGACGTAACTGGGCGAGGCCTGATTTTAACATAGAAGTGAGACTTCTAGAAGTAGAACCCTGCCATATATGCACTAAACTGATCTCTGGGTTAAGAGCCCCTAAGTTGCCAGGTTCGCGATTAGTCGATCTTAAATATTTCATTTCATCTCATTTCCGTTGTATCGATGACAGTTTGTGTAATTAAAACACGACGGGATAGAGTTTTTCTCACATTCTATATCACGGGCTATGGCTCTAGAATGGAAGGTCTGATGCGTACCAAAGGGAAAATCATCCAAGAACTTTTAATCTTTAACACATTGTTTAATTTTCATCTCATGAATCAGACAAAAATTGTCGCCGCGGGAAGGTTCACAAACTTCATTCATATTTCACATTTTGCGTGAAACTCCAGACCGGATGCGCACCAAACTATATAAACTAGTGATACTTAACACATGTTTTAAGTTTCATCGAAATCAGAATTATAGAGAGTCCACAACCTTTGTATTACATACTTTTTTCACTAAACTAGTATCACTATATAAACTAGTGATACTTAACACATGTTTTAAGTTTCATCGAAATCAGAATTCTAGAGAGTCCACAACCTTTGTATTACATACTTTTTTCACTATTAGCGGAAAGCGTAGCGGCCATTCGACGGGAAGTTTCGGTCCAATTTTCAACCATAATTAGGGCCCACAAGTTAAAAATGTGATTTTTCATAAAATCAGGGTCCATAATCCAAGAAGTTACGGTCCGATGTGTGTCAATATTGAAAGGAATCAAGATCTTTAGGTTATAAACATACACTGTATAAGTTTCATCAAAATTGGATAAAAACTGTGACCACTTCTGCATCACAGGAAAGCACCACTGACAGCAGTGCTTTCATGGTAAGGGATTTAAAACAAATTTAAAAGTTCACTTCATTGATGAGAAATTTTACTAGACAGAAATCGCTTAGAAAGCGTCTCCGACGATCTAGATCCCAGGGAGCTTCCAGGGCCTTGGGGACCCCCGGTTCCTCGCCTAAAGTCCTAGGCTGAAAGCTATAGCATAATGTTGCTTTCATATGTCGTTATGTTCCACTAATTCTTTGACCCGCTCCAGTTTATTTTCAGTCACGATCGATAAAGCGATAACAATAACAACATAGTATGGAAAATAAACGACATTTCATCGAACTATCCCGCCCCCTCGTTTATTGTTGAGTGGTCAAAGTATGATCACAGCCTCACAGGGCATAAATCCAAGCAGATTGGAATGTCCGGATGCAGAAAGAAATCAAATGCGTTATTTTAACCCACATTTCTGTACCAACTGCTACTGAAATGTATGCAAAGGCACAAAAATATTTGAGGGCTATGTGAATTCTTAAAACGAGAAGTGGCATCAGGTGCTCTAGATAAGTCAGACCGAGGACCCGCTCGCTCCCGAATATTTATAGAAAAATCTAGACATGTTACTGAAAACGCCATAGAGTTCATCTTCGATGTGCATCGAGGCAAGTAAAAGCAAGGAGGTCCCGAGTTTCGACCCCAGTGTTGTCCGAGAAAGTCCCCCTTGACTTTCCAATGTGGTTTTCCCCTTTCAGTGGTACAGGACGAATGGCCATGCAAAGAACAATGTCTAGTAGTTTGGATTGGACAAAAAACAGGATCCCGCGTTTGGCATGCACGTAAAAGAACCCTTGACAGTTGTAATCCATTTGCTGTATGGGCAAAATTTGCAGCATTATATAGCCCACTGTATGGCGTATATGCCCCCCTTCATTAGCTTGATTGGTGCCCAAAGGTAGGACGTTAAACCCCATTTCATGCATGTTACAGTCGTTCGATTCTTTAGAACATGCATGTTTATTCGAGTGAATATTGTTATAAAGTAATTGATAGTTTGCTAGTTTTCCCCAAGGACCAGATATTTCTATCGCTTAGCAATCACTGGAAACTATAATCGCTTCACAAGTGCAGTAATTGTATTATGTAATAAATCATTCACCTTGCGCTGTACTTGACACAGGATCAGCATGCTAGAAAATAAATTATAATACATTTTATTTCATCTATAACCGTTAAATCCAGGTCAATAAATTGTTGTCTATAATTTTTAATTCTCTTGTTTAAAAAGTACTGAAAGCTTTGAGAAAACACGATCAGCACTCCAAATTTTTCGTCAAGGTCACGAGATGTAAACATGGTTAGGGCACATGATTGTGGGAAAGTGTTAGGACTAGGTCTTGGACTAGGGTCAGCCCTGTTTACATCACGAGACCTTGATGGAATCTGCAGGTGGCCTTATTATTTAGACCTAACCAGAACACACCTGAGAATAAATTGGCTTAATTATTAATATATTGTTTTAAATTCTCAAGCCAAACATCACTAACATAAAAATCGATTGAAACAGTTTATTGTTGTCGACTAATTATCATCATGTCACACCTGAAGTCAATTATTGGACATAAAAGGGGATGTTAAATCACGTTCTATTACAATTATATCCAAATAAAATTTCCGAGAGTCAAATGAAATTGAAGCCAGTCAAAATGAGACAAAAACAGATATATGTAAAGTGATTATGATGCCAACGTTTGGTCATATTTCATTTAATCTAACGTAAGCATATTATAGTGAGAAAGAGAGATGGTTTAACGTCCACTCGACACAAACTAGGTCATTTCGGGACTAACATATTGTTCAATTTTATTTCAATAATACGCTTGAGCGTAGGGGTCTTTAGCAGTGGGAGGAAACTGGGGGACTAGGTGAATACCCACGAGGTTGGACAGGCGACCCTACCCCCAATTGTCAGGTACAACCGTGGAATCGAAACCACACCAGTTGACTCAATGACAGACCTTATGATACAACGCGCACGCGCTAATCATTCGGATGCCCCCCCCCACGATGGCACAGTGAGTTTGGCGTTGGTTCATCAACCTGCGTTCACATATCATAATGATGTCAAGATATATCGTCACAGACAAACTATAACTCCATTACAGAATTTGTATAAATCGCCTAATTCTGTAAATGAATCATAATTACATTGCTCCAGTTTTAAAAGCTTGTGAGAGTTTTATTTTTAAATACTGTTTGACTCCCGCATATTTTTTTTTGGGGGGTGGGGGGGGGAATATTTGTGAAAACAAATTTACTAAAAAAATAACAGCACTACCTTAATACAGGATACTTGCACAACATAAACGTATTATTCTATTATATTCTTTAAGTGGCATTTAGTAAGTGACATTATAGTTCATTTAACATAAACGTAGATAGAAGAAACAGTAAAGGGATATAGCCGTTAAAAATAAAAGTGAAAAATCGACGAACATTGGAAAATGAAACAGATATAGAAAACAACAATTAAATCTCAAGTCCTGATATATTTTATACTTACAGGGTCCGGTGGTTTCTATTATCATTAAATATAAACAATACAATATTTAAACAATTTCCATGGCGTTTTTATTATAGATAAACGGAAATAGTCCACCTATTTCTGCATTCTAACAATAGGTATAGATAACGATGGCAGATACTCGAATCAACCACTTCGTTCAAACGACATATTATTGAATTAAAGATTCATGCTTTCATGATGCCACAGGTATTAGGAACATGATTAACGGTTAATTTCGAATGAGAAAATAAACAATTTTTACTAATTTGCTTGAAAAATTTTGCCATGGATTGGTGACGTCCTTAACAAATAAGGGTAGGTGCTTAACTAAAGGCACTTTTCTAAATGTTGAACCGGGTCGTTCAGCGGTTTAAATTAAATGTAATTTCAAGTTGCATGCAACCTGGAAACGAGACAATTATTGAAAACAAAAGTAGAATAAGTAAACAAACCTTGTGCTGATTGGCTTGTCTAAATTTAGAAGCATCAAAACCATGATTATTATTACTCATCTCTTCTTCATCCTGAAATTATAAATATATACACCTACATAATAAGTGTTCCAAAAATATGCAGCGATAAAAATGAAATGGAATTTACGTCCTACTTTTCTGCACCAAACGGGCTAATGGAGTGTGTTGCAGTAGAGTACATAGAGGGAGTGCAGGGGGAGTCCATGACATCAATTACTGTTAAAATTGATGTACAAGGTGTCTTGTTTAATGTTTTATTTCATTTGTTTTAATATCCCCAGTTCCATGCCAGGCTGGGAAATTTTTAAGGAACTTTTTCCGGATCTCTGGGTTAATGAGCGAGCTCCATAGCCATCTCACTGAGCCATCGTGGATCCCGGTGATCATCATTTTGTTCAGTAATGAAATAACACTATCCAAAACCATGTATTAAATGTATACCCTTTTACTGAAATATTTAATCGTGTTTTAATATTTCTTAAAAGGATAATCAACTGTAACCCATATGTCTTGTGTAGCAGCTCTTTTATATTTTTTGTTGAATAATTCAATCTGTCAGTTCATCTATTGATTTTCCCGTATAATTTCTCATTTGTAGCGGTAAGGTATGTTTTGTATCGTATTGTGATTAACAATATCTCGGGACACGATTGTCATGCATGCATTCCCCAAAACCTACCATGTCAAAACTCATCCATGGAGTTATGTTTATAGATTAAATAATACTGATTAAGTCGCTATTACAAAACCATATAGAATCCCATATTCTTGAAGCAATAGCCCGAGAAATCCCTCTCTGGCCATTGCTGGATTGGCTTCTGATACTTGAGCTTTTGAGGGAGTGTGTCTATTCTTCCCGTTCAATCAAATCTATCCCAAGTACAGCAACATGACATCCCTTCGTTTAATCTGGGGTGTTCTCTAAAACTTTGGACAGTGATTTAAGGTATTAAAAACGGTGAAAGTATTGTTTACATTGTATCCATGTTGATAGCCTCGTTTGTCACGCAATTAGTTTTTCTGCAATATTCTGTTATGCACTGGTTAATTGGGCATGATAAAATCGTGAGTCATGACCTAACGTTATGTAAACATAATTATTTGGTCCAATTTGGAGCTCTGTTTAAAACGTAATGATATTGTTACGCAGTTAGCTATTGGTCGTTATTCGGATTATTAAACAGTCATAATTTGGAACAGAAATTTGCTTCCTTTACAGCGGTGTTAAATGATAGAACCCTAGAATATATGACTGCTGTGTCGGACGCAAGATATTTTGTTAATTGGTGTTGGAGTAGACATGGGGTAATCATAATTAGGAGTGCCATTGTCAATGATGATTTGTGGCGCATATCATGCATGACACGAATATAACACTCAATTTCATCAGTTACAACCTCACTATATATAGAGAATCTCCTACTCGTTTTTTTTTATATCAAAAAATATCAACACAAGTTGATAAAGTAAAAAAACGAGGCTCTGCCGAGTTTTTTTACTTTATCGACGAGTGTTGATATTTTTCGATATCAAAAAAGACGAGTAGGAGATTTTATTTTTCACACAATCCTTTCTTATACATGCACAAACAAATAAATATAATTCTTTGCTATAGATTTCTCTTTTACTGAACCTGATTACATTACGGCGTAGTGATACATCATTTTTTGACAGCAATACAACCATTGCAAAGTCCTTTATATTGACACAGTATTTCCATGAAAGTCAATTAAATAAAAAAAAGTTCCTTTTTAATAAGAAGTTATTTTTAATAAAAAATGAACTGTTCTTTGAGCGATATTTCCTAAGGAGATATCGCAGTAGATTATGAAATTTATCACACAAGCGATATCTACTGTAGAATGTATTATTGGGTGATAAATAAGATTATACTGAAAGTTATTAATAAGTGATTTAGGGGGGAGGGGCGAGCCCATATATCCAGCATTTGGTTCCGCCACTCTAGGACTATTATGTCTGATATGAAAGACACGCACAATAAAAAGAAATATAGACACACCCGTAATTAAATAACGATACTAACAAATCATCATTGTAAGAAAATGGCCACATTTCAAAATAACTCTAAGAATGGGACTACAGATAAAACGTTAAAGAAAATAGTATTTACAATTGTGTAAATTTATGAATGAAACAAACATTAAATGGGTGATCATAAAATATTACTATTTATAGCCTTGACTTCTTAAAGATAAGGGACACTAGTTGACTTGACATGAGATTCACTAACATTTGAATATACGTATTAAACAAGTTAGAAGAAATTATATGGGGTTTAGCGTTTCCGCTGATTTTTCAATGAACTCCAGCTATCAATTGAGGGTTCTTTTACGTGTATGATAACGTGTTCGCGGTGCCTCGGTGTTTCCGTGTCCATCCGAAAGACTAGACACTGTTCCTTGCCACACCTTCCGCCCTGCACCACTGACAAGGGCAAACTACGCAGGAAAATCCCCAAAACTTTGTGAAATGAAATGAAATGTGGTTTAACGCCCTACTGTTCTGCTCCGAACTGGGCTAATGAAGACGGGCTATAAAACTTTGTGAGCCACCAAGTTGCCATGTTGAAATCTGATATACATTGCCGTCGGAGCAGTATGTCGTCTGCGCTTCATTGTGAAGGCTTTACAGGTTAAAGTTAATATAACTTTTTTGTGCATTTGTGAGATGAAGGGACCCACTATATCTAACGGATTTTGATAATTTGTGTCACAAGTTATAGCCCTTGATGACTGACGCGCTGTGTTTGTCGGGTTTATGGCCGCAGATGACTAATGATTTCCCCATTGACTTTAATGTTAATTCTCGTCTCTTAGACCAGCTCTAACTTTTCGCCAAATTTTCGTTGGGTAGAACGCTTTCTACCACAGATGGAGCAATATGTGGCAACCTCTTGCCCAAAAGCACGTATGAGGTTCACCATGGAAAACTTGAGATACACAAGCTGGAAGTAGAGACAATTAACCATGCAATTTTTGACCCTACATTTCAACCTAACCAACCTCTCAACTCTTGTAGTCCTTCCGTCTCAAAATCATGAATATTCACCAAAACCTGGCAGAAAATATATTTTCAAACTCTTTTCTTCGATTCTACACCAAAGAGTTAACAAAAATCGTCATGCAAAAGGGGGGAAAAGGAAAAGGGAGAGAAAGACTAAAAATAACTTTCGCCCTACATTCGCGGGTGACGGCGTAGAAATAATTGGTGAGCTGTGTCCTCATGAATGAACAATGTAAGGTGTGCAATATAGATATAATAAAATAGACTGTCCTACATAACTACTATATTCTCGTTTCACATACAAGCTATATTTAGTTATTCTTAATTAGAAATTAAAAGTCGTTAATATGATATCCTTCCGTAGGTCAAGTTATTATACAACTATTTATTCCTTTTTACCGTTTTATTATATCACCCGATCAGGAGAGATTAACATAAGCCATTAATATTTATTGTTATTTAATGGGATTGGTGATCGCGATATTTTGTGGGATTAAATTGGTCTAAAGGCACACCTTAAAATTTAATGAACGACGAATAAACATTGTTTACAGGTGGTGCGGTTGCAGTAATAAACAAGAAGTTGCCATGTAAGATACGCCCACATTTTGCAAGAGATTGACAGAGTATAAGCTGAAAAAAGGCGAAATTTCGTACAACCAGGGGCCATAATCCAGGATGTTACAGTCCGACATGCATCAATATCGAACGGGGTCGAGATTCTAGGATATAAACATAAAATCGGATAAAAATTGTGTCCACAGCCTAGGTAGTATGTATATAGGTTGCATGGTTATTATACTATTTGGGGGGGGGGGGGGGTGGATGGCTGAATGGTTAGCGTGCGCGCGCTGTATCATAAAGTCTGTCATTGAGTCGACTGGCGTGGTTTCGAATCCCCGGTTGTACGTGACAAGGTGTAGGGTCGCCTGTCCAACCTCGTGGGTTTTCTCCGGGTTCTCCGGTTTCCTTCCACTGCTAAAGACCCCTATGCGCAAGCGAATTATTGAAATAAAATTAAACCATATGTTAGTCCCGAAATGACCTAGTTTGTGTCGAGTGGACGTTAAACCCCATTTCTCTCTCTCTCTATTATACTATTTGCGTAGAGGAGCTGCCATTTTGTCAGACAGTTTCCATCCAATTTTCACGAAATTCGAACTCAACCGTACATGTAAATATGATGTAACGGGGAAGTTTTTTGAAATCGTATCAAAAATTTAAAATAGTGATCTCTAACGGGTTCACAAGCTAAAAACGCGACCAGGGGCCATAATCCAGGAAGTTACCACCCGATATGCGCTAATATCAAAAAAAAAACGAGATCTTTGGGATATAAATATATATTTTAAATTTCATCAAAATGGGATGAAAATCGTAATCTCTAGAGTGTCCACAGCCTTAGTATTACATACGTTTACACTATTTAAGTACTGGGAGTGGCCCTTTTGTCGTTCATTTTCGGACGAAATGCGAACTCAACCATGATTATGGTGTAACGGTGATATATTTGAACGCGTTTTTAAAATCGATTAAAAATTGTGACCTCTATAGAGGGTCCACGTGCTCAATACACGTTTTTGCGTACAATCAGGGGTCATAATCCAGGAAGTTACGGTCCGATATTCGCGAATATCGAAAGGAACCGATCTATGTGGGATATAAACTACTTTTTCAAGTTTTGACAAAATCGGATAAAAATTGTGACCTGCAGAATGACCACAAACAAAATATGAACCGTTGTCCGGACGGAAATGAAATCAAATGGTGTTTAACGTCCTACTGTTCTGCTTCTAAACTGTGCTAATGAAGACGGGCAGCGGCGCTACGGCCTACTCTTATATCGAATTCCAACTGCCAAGGGATCTTTTATGTGCACGCCAATGTGTACACGGAACCTCGGTTTTTCGTTCCATTCGAACGACTAGACAGCTGTCCTTGTCAGGCCCTCCGCCCTGCATCACTGACAAGGGGAAACCACGCCGGAAAATCTGGATGAACTTTCTCGGCCAATGCAGGGATCGAAAACCCGGCCTCCAGGCTAGCGAGCCAGCGTCTTACCCACTAGCGATTGTGATCCCTTGTCCGGATGGACAGGTGGTCAATATCCGTACACATGAAAATGTGGGTGTATATAAAAAAGAAAGGACTTTTCGGGAACATACATTATACTATACTTCCGTGTGTAATTATACTGAAAGGGGCATATACTCGTATAATGTACATATATATTTATGAGCGTGATCTATTAAGAATGGACAGTAAATAGCGACCTAGCTATAAAATATTCTAATAATAACTTCAATGGGATTAACAACATTAATCTGCTGTTCAATTGTTGATAACCTGTTTACTGTAAACCTGGGAGATAAGTATATACCTCACTGATGTAAATAATATTCAATGTACGACAATCCCCTAGAACCAAACGACGAAAACACGTCAATATCCACTTTATGAAACTGAAAGGGAGTTTAACTCCCTACTGTTCTGTTCTTTCCGGAAAATGGGCATACGCCAAACACATGCAGTGGACAAAGCCCACTCTTATTTCGAATACCACCTGTCAAAGAATGTGTGCCTGGCCATTATGATATGACACACTGGTAGTTGGAAACACCACTGTTCGTATTCAATATTCAAATAACATGTAATATACATGTACAAACAAAAAACGTTAGATAAGCAATTAAAAGAGATATAACAATACAAAGTTGGTAAATAGGTATCTGCAAATAGTCACAGCAATTAGTGCTCGATTTAAATAGACTTGGTATCGATTTATATTCCGTTATCACGTTCGTTGTCACTAATTGTATGAAATATTATACCTATAATAAGCCCAGGTGAATTTAATCATCAAAAATACACTATACATATAGATGCATTGGTTGCTAAAATGCCTATGGGGTTTAATCTTCTAGTTTTCTGCACCAACCGAGTTGGTTAATGATGACGTGTATACACCTTACAGTGTGCAACAGGGGAAATTTTGCGAAGACAGCAATTGAATTCCAACTGTTAAAGGTTCACACCTCGTGTAAGACTTTTGCTAGAATTTGTTCTCTTGAAATTAATGATGGCATTCTATATTGTATTAATTAATGTCTTTGGCAAGTTGTGGGATTCAAACATAATAATATTGTCTAATATGTACTTAAATCAAATGAGCGAATGAGCGACAGATTGTTATGTAAAAAAAAGAGTCATAATGTGGTAAACATTCAATTCTAGGTTGATAACATATATCTTGTGGGAAGTTTCTCCTGTAAGTTTTCACTTTCAATATAAGGGTGGGTTTCGACGTCATTAGGCTAATTGACTAATCTCTTTAATTATTTAAATCATATTTGACCAATTGGATAATTGAACGTCAAAACCCAAAGCTACAAAGCTATCATATTTGTGAGAATTCGTCAGACAGCAGCTTGATTCTAAAAGGGAAAAGATGTAGCGAGTCTGGCTGGCTGAGGTTTGAGAAAATGACTTTATTCTATTATGCATTGTACCATATGTAAGCAGCTTGATATATTACATGTAAAAACGAACTGTTGCATTTTTATTCCTGGAAAGACAAACGTCTTAACTGAGATAGACAAGAAGAAGTAAATACACAACGTGAAGGGGAAGCAAAGACGACAGGTGAAAATACAAAGACGATCAAGGGCTGTTCTTAAATATCTACCAGAGAAGAGGGAGTATGCGTCACACGTTGTGTGGGGACTGGGGAGTTGTCTCTGCATATTTTCCACATATAACCAGCGACTGTATAGCACTGCATGGTGCTACACTCGGTCTATCGTTCCATCCGAACGACTGGACGCTCTTCCTTGCCAAGTCCTGCACTACTGACAAGGAGAAACCACACTAGACCACACTAAACCCCACTATACCAACACCATGTCGAACCGTGGCAATATCGAGTCGGTTAATGATAAATATACGTATATAATAGGTCTATTTTTTTTAATTTTTAAAAATCTACCATGCCGAGATATAAACGATTTAGTAGTTTTCGAGACATTTGAAATTAGTCAATACAGATCAGTGCATGGAATAGAAAATTTGTCGTCTAAGCTTATTTCTTATATTATTCAAAATAAATTACATTTATTAGCTTGGTGATAGTGATAATTCATCTGTAAAGGGTCTAAAAGCACATGTAACATGAATGTATATAAAGAGATTCATAATTGTTTTGTTTTGGGGTTTTTTTTGGTTTTTTTAGTTACTTCTAATCATATTATGTTCGGTGAAATACGCGAACATTCAAATTTGAACAACAGTCGATTAAACCTGCTTAGTCCATTCTACAAGTTTTTTGGTTATTATTTTGTCGTTTGTGAATTAGCCATTCACTAATTAATGCCGCATTGTCGTCTAGGATATGTTTTGATCTGGTCATTACATAGTCCCCGAAACAATAGAATACACGAATCGTGTACTGATCATAAAATGTACATTGTCGCTTAAATATTGGATATTAGGATCCCATTTTTTTCACGGCAAGATAAGATAACATCAACATTGATTGAAATAGACCAAGATTGAATTCTAATTCGTGTTTCTAATTTCGAATAGTATGGAAAATATTGAGTTAGATGTTTAGTTCCTTTAAATCTGCTCTTGAAAACTAAATCATTAAATGCATCCTCTCAATCTGTGCCATTTGATATTCATAACGGGCAAAACAAAAAGGGTTTTATGCCATGAAACTGAAACAATAAATGACTTACCCCATCGCTATCCCAATCATTAGGGTTTCTGTAAATTGTTTTTTGTCGTATTAACATTTCTCGGTCAACGGTATAATTTTCACGTGTATGTTTCTGTGCGTACGTCTCCGGATAAATGTTCTGTTGTGCGCGTGCTGAACGACCGTGCGATGTACGTGGTCTAGCAGAACCTTCATCATTATTTGACGTCACAGCAGCTGCAGACGACGTCACAGTCTCTTTAATAAACGCGTCTAAATCCTTTTCTAAATCCGAATCGGAGTCCCAGTGATTATTTTTAGAAACCTTTGCTTTTTTCGGGGTGTTTTCTCCATTTATTACTGAATTATTTTTCACCGGGGTATCCTTTTTAGCACTTTCTTTATGTTTTGGTGAATTATTTGTATTGGTGTCCTTGTTTGGTCCTTTCGCCGGCGATTTAGGGTCAGGATTTTTCGTTGTAGTTTTTCCTTTACTTGACCCAGACCCCATACTGGTGATTGTCACTTAAAGAAATCTAATCGAATCACAATCGGTCTTGTGTACTACTCACACCAAAATACCACAGCATAAATGATTGAAATGAATAATTAGTGCCTTTGATAAATAAGCCTATCGGGATTGGTCATACTGTAGCTCACGTTGTGAACTTCTATAACTACCTACACTGTATACTTTTGTTTACCTGACTACGTCATTAAACGTTAACTCTACAGAAACATGCGCAAGCAAGGGTCCACTTTATACGAAGGGGTGTTTTTTTTTTGTTTTTCTTCAGTATTTAGAAACTTTCTAATTCTTAAACAAAATGGTGATAAAATACTAGAAATTTAGGTCATATTTTTTGTAGTTTATTGAAAATTACTTTCATATTGAAAGCATCTGAAATATCGTAACGAGAACTAATATCTATTACCCCTAATGGTGGGCGAGTCTACTATTATCGACCGAAATCAATAATAACTAGATTAATAAAAGTGTTATAACCAAACAAAACGAATGAATGAAGAGTATATTACCCAGGCTGGTCGACAGTAAAGCGACATCTCACCGAAAACAAATTTAAATGCCTGCAATATCTATTCTACAAATAATGTTTTGACTGGAATAAAACAAAATAAGTATATGGGGCGGTCATATTTATAAAAGTTAAATCAGTGACCTAGCTTCCCTCCTTGGTAATAATGGTTAGAAGACTCATTCTTCGATATGGGACAATATTGCTTATTTATGAAATCGTTTTCGCAACTCTATGTTTGAGTACATTTCAACAACCTGAATTGACTTATTTTAAGATCGTTTATTTTATGACTAAGAAGAAAACTGAGTACAGGAATTGGCCTGCATCAGTGAATGTCGATTGGCCAGGTAAAATGTGAAATTAATAAGAGAGTGATAACAATTAAGGGTGTATTATACAACCTTCGACAAAACCCGGTGATTATCTCATTACACACAAACATGGGTGTAATTATGGTGTATAGATCTAATGTATAATTACTATTAATTACTTTATATAATTCCCGGCGCTAATTCAAAAAATACTCCATTCGATTTATAATACCATACGACAGCACATTTTGCATGGGTCTTTTTAAGAGGAGCGAGGTAAAGTGGGATCGGATGAGAACAGAAGTTAAAATGGCAAAGTGAAAGTGTATAATGCCCCAGTCGAATAAGGAATTATTTTCAGAATAAATATTTTAGCTGTCATTTTATCAAATTTTATAAATATCGCCCCATATACTTATTTTATTTAGATTAAGTCGAGAAATGTGTTGACTTTTTATTTTTACAAAGGGTGGGTGGGGCCATTGATACCAGAGTTACAGTCCGAGATACGGCGTAAATACCGTTAATCCAGAGACAAAAAAAAATACTAGTCTTATTCCAAAAACCATATCAATGTCTTTTTTCATTTTGATTGAGGCCTGTAATTACTACCGATGAGGGACAGTGCAGTTGACGCTTAAGTATATGCCTATTGGTGTCATTCGTTAATTTATACCCTTCCTAGTAATATACCTCATATGAGAAAGATTCACTTGGCGATACAATGAACGAGTCTTTCGCAGTGAAAACTATGGTAAATAAAAAATAAACACAAAAAAAACCTTTACTCCTCACGAATAGGCCACCGTACTTGCGACTGGCCCCAGGATCCATTCACTTAAATTGATAAACTCTTCAAAATAAGTAGGGGATATTGAAATGTAAATACCTATGCAGGTTGCGATATGATAAATAGTCATGGACATTTGACATGCTTTGAGAGTATGCTCACAGATGAAGAACGTATCGCCCCAACAGAACCACTGAGCTGCACATACGACACGCAATAGCGCCATATGGGAGGGGTTCATTGTCAAATTTGACACTTCAAGGAAAGGTTGATGAAAACTGCCGCGTGCTGGTTTATCTATCCATGTTTGCTTTCCTATCGGTTCTTGCATAAGATTTACTGTTTAGCGTATCTTTGCTTTAGTGTGTTACGTTTAATTTGATCGGGAGACGTGTTCGTCGACGTCAACGTCAACCGACAACACTGCAAGAATTGACCGTGGTATTGCGAGAGGAGTGGGTCAGATTGCCCCAAATCGTGACTGGACGGTTAATTATGTGCATGCCACGACGAATTGCTGAATGTCTGAGGATTGGTGGAGCAATTACTCATTATTAAGACAAAAATCAAAAACGTCCATTTTCACTTTTGACGGAGTATCTCTTTGCGAGTGAAATGGGGCCGTCAGATAAGCCGCCCATATGAACTGTTTATGTTCATGTGTAGGCAATTGGCCTGTTATTAACATACACTGGTTACCTCTAATAAAAACAGCAGTGCATTTCCGCAGTTTTGTATTGTTTCTAAATATCCCCTACTTTTTTTTTTCTTTTTTTTTGAAGAGTATATGTTGTTTATTTCTTGCAATGTCTGTGTAGTTTTTCTTGGGTTTTTGGTCTAGAATAGAAGAAAGAAGAATGGGATTTGAATTAACATTTCTTGCCAGATTTTGTTAAATACAGTGTATTCACGATTTAGGGACGAAAAGATAACAGAGTTGAGGGGCTGGTTACGGTGATATGTTCGGCGGATAGTAGCATGTTGTTTTAGTATCCTACTTCAAGTTTGTGTATCTCAAAATTTCATTGGTCAACCTCATACACAATCTGGATTATAGACATGACCATTTGTTGTGCTGTCTATAGTTGAAAGTGTTCAGCCAACGAAAATTTTGGGAAACGTTGGGAGACCAGAATTAACATTGAAGTCAATGCCATATTAATGGTGGTCTGCATCCACTTACTATTAAAGAGTTATCTACCCATTATTTAACGCCAGGTGGCTAAAACACGTGGCCTTCCTTTCACCACGACATTTTGATTTGGTGAGATGTGTTTTTGTGTTTCTATCAAACAATAATGAGTTTTCAAGTAGTTTACAAAGCTATAAACCCAATATTCATATCAGAAATTAGTAAAAGAGTAACCCACCTATCGAATTTCCCCAATGCTTCGGATTTGGAAAACAATTTTGGTCACAAAAAATGATTAAAATATTTGATATCGAAGAAATCCCCCAATTCAAAATCAAAAGTAAAGTTGTGTAGACAAAACACACGTGTTCGCGTGACTGCTAGCTAACGTAACACCGGTCCCACGTAACACAAACAGTATTTACACGCTGCAATAATGAAACCAGAACAGAAGTGAAGTACATTTTATGTTAATAATGATTTAAATACACGGACAGTTGATGACCGTGTAATAAAAAGAAACATCTTCAAAGCCCAACCAAGTCCCTAGTATTAGGGGTTTCAGGTCAAAGTTTCAAATGACAGAAAAAAATTTTTTTAAAATATTTTGTGAAAATGTACATAAAATGCTACCCCAATTTTTTTATTTCATCAAAATATTCTAATTAGATCCAAAGTTATGGAATTTTAAAATCCGAGATAGACGTCAATAATATAATCAAAATGGTCTATACCAGTCAATGCGTGGCATGGCACCAAAATAAGTGCTTTTCAGTTAGTGTTGAAACTACTATTCGGATATTTGTTAACGGATACAAAATAAGGGTTATCCGAATCAGTTTACTATTCGTTACAATATATTCTGACATTCCGTATGCTCTATTATACTCTATATTTAGTCAATTTTACGTCTGATCACTTTGAAATTTTCCCCAGTACAATTGATCACGTACGCAGCTGCATGAGCATAAATGTCAACATTATGCGTATTTTTTAGTGATAGTAACTAATAAAATTATTAATGCAGTGCAACGAAAACAGTAGTCTAAATAAAAAAAATATTCATTCATTCCCTGCGCTAGTTTACGGCATACGAGTTTAGACCGTGTTTTGACTTCCCACAATGAAATTTATTCATAACGACATAGGTCACGTATATTCCCACTCACTGATTGGTTCAATAGTAGTAGATTATCAGAATGAGGCAAACGACCTTGCCGGAATAAATGGCACATGGTTTTATTTTACTTTTGATTGAGCAAAATGATAAGTGGGAGGGTGCGGATAACAGGAGTAGTTATACTATACAAATTCCTTCACCTCATTGATTTTTTGGGATGTCAGACCGATGTCATAGGTAGTCTTAATAATTACGGCTAAAGGTAGGCACGTTTTTTTCTTCGCGGCTCAAACAATTTGCAAATCGAAAGTACGATTTCATACTCGGCATACAGACACTCATAAACATTGAAACAAGTAAGAAATTATGAGTACCGGTATATGAACTTTTGATGTAATTGTGTTCAAGAAATTCACGTCTCCGAATTATCCGAATAGTATTCGGATAGCCAACAAAAGTATTCGGATCACAAATCTCGATCCAATTTTCAACACTATTTTCAGTCATATTTGAGTGACGTCATAAGCGGTATTTTCCCTTCAGAATCGCTAGTACCAATTTTAAAACTGAAATCCGCACGTTATTGTCGTCTAAAATTTATTAAAATCGTAATAATTTGAATGATAATATGTCAAATATTTATAATCTGGATGATACCTCATCAGAATAATTTGAATATGTCAAATATTTATAATCTGGATGATACCTCAAGAAATTTTTTTTATATTTAGTCGAAATTTGGCAATTTTCAGTCATCAAAACAGATAAATCCCATTTTCTACGGGTCTACTTGTCCGATCACGTGGTATCAACAACCATAATAACCACAAAAATGTTATCTATCGTTTGATTGGTTCTATATCAAAATCCCCCCGGTAACTAAGCTGCGGATTCACCAATAAAGTGAGTCGTAGCAATGGAAAATCTATGGCCGCGTGACGTCAGAGCGGTATTTTCTATCGAGCGTCTCCTGTAAACAAACGGTAATTTCGCTTACATTTCGATAATTTTTTAGCCTGAAGCTTTGCAGATATTGAGATTGATATTAAACTATGCAATACAATTGCTAGTAATGCATTTACATAAAATAGTAATTCAGAATCGTAGATTGAAGTGGGCTATATTTCAGCCGCTGGCTTTCCGATTTCACACTAAAGTCACGTGACCTGAAACCCCTACCAATATGCCGAATTGTACTATAATAGGCTATAGCTATGTGCCAAAAACTATCTAATGAGCCCTATTTTGCAACAATTGGTTGTGCCACTTCTAAAGTCGTTAATCAGCCCTAATAAAAGAGTAAGGCAGTAAATACATACGTAACACAATAAGATTAGGAAGTCACATGACCTAAATTCATAAAATAAGCATGAAACAGGCCTCATCATACTATAATCTTGTGATATTTATACATTATTATATTAAGAATGAAAATTGGATGTATCGGGCCATTTTCGTATTTTGAGATTTTTCAATGACAATGACAAAGTTCTTGATTTGTCATAGGCTTGGTAAATATGACCAGAATTGAAAATTGCAAAATGGAGGCTGTGGAGGGAAGTTTCTAGGGCTGGGTATCGATAGTGATTTTTACTATCGATAATCGGCAAGGAAATGTCGGTCGATAATCGATAGTATCGAAAACAAACTTATTTTCACGGTCGTCATCAAGACTGGATACAGTGTAAGTTCAAAGTTCAAAACCATACGAAGTTGCTAAAGATCGTTTGCTCCTGTCTAAGGAGATTTATTTGGAAAACATTAATAAAACTTGTTATATCACGTATATATACGTAAATTGATGTTGTTTATTATTAAAATAATGCAGCCGTGGTTCCGAATGAAGAAATGTCGTAAATAATTATGGTACGGGACCAAAATGAACTTGTTCCGATTCAAAACATTGCGTACGTGCGCGCGAAAATATCAATATGGCAGACGAATTCTGAAGCTTGCAAAGGGAAATAACTCTAACTTTATTTACACATCTGGGTATCTCCGATTTAGCGATGTTCAACAATAATTTATTCAAAACTAAAGTAACGTTTCAATGAGAGTGAATTTCAGAAAACGGCTGTTCAATAAGCAGTCACAATTTTGTTATGTGTTACATTGATACTTGATAGTAATTAAAGTGAGCGGTGTATTATGATTAATTAACTGAAAGAAAACATTGACATTTCAGACGCAAGAAAAATAGACGAAGAGCGATAATCGATAGGAACCCATCGCTATCGATAGTGCTTTTCTGGGCCGTCCAATCGATACTATCGATTTATATCGATATTTTACCCAGCCTTAGAAGTTTCTAACTGCATCATCAGGCAGAACAGCGAGGATTTCAAATGCGTGAACCAATCACAAAACTCAGATTTTTGACACGCCTAGCAGAAGCAAGGTCAAGAAACACCGGATCAGCGAACAAATGGACAAAAAATGGACACATACACCTGTATAATATTCATATACAATATAATATTCATATACAACATGATACAACAAACTTCCATTCCAACTAGGGGTTTCAGGTCTATATTTTGAATGACAGATCTTATTTTTTTTTTTTTTTATCTATTTTATGACAAAATACTGATACTCAGAATCCAATTAAAAACATTTATTTCAAAGTATTCGAATTAGTTGGGGTTTCATGTCTTGTGACTTCGTAAGAAATCGGAGAGCCCATCAACTGAAATTTAGACGCATTTCAAACTATGTGTTTGAATTACTGTTTGATTTATATGTATTACTATTGATTGTATTGTTATAATTTAATATTGACCTCAATATCTGCAAAGAATCTGACTCAAAATTTATTAAAATACAGGCACAATTGCTGTTTTTGTATTGGAGGCTCAGTAACTGGAGGGATAATTTAAAATATTGACCTGAAACCTCTACACAGACCCTCGTCTGGATTGCTCATATCCTATGGCCTAGCAAAAATATCTTTTGGCTTAATAACAGAAAAGCCTTAAAGGATGTCTTGCATGGGAATAACATGGAATGCACCTAGTAAGCCTTACTGGGATTCTGCCATTGATGATCATCACTAAATAAAAGGTTATGTTCTATTTAATAAGTTATAATCAGGTTAAAAGTGAACTTAAAATAACTTCAAATGTCTGATCAAATTATTGTAATTTGTATGTTATTATTGTAGATTTTATCTTTAAACTGCCTACGGCTGTCCCTGATTCACCAAGATGGTCAAGGAAGATAAAACAACCTGGAAATCAAAATACTTCTTGAAAATTGTTGTAAGTATTTGACATACCTTGTAATTTTACACTCTATGAACATGAAAATACTTTCGTTAAGTACAACTCCTGTTTACTACAGTATGTTTCAACAAGGATCGGGGGTTCGCGGTGGCTAAGTGGTTAAGACGGTGGCTTTCTATCCTGGATGTCAGGTGATCGTTCCCTGCATTGGCTGAGAAAGTTCATCTAGATTTTCCGGCATGGTTCCCCCTTGTCAGTGATGCAGGACAGCTGTCTAGTCATTCGGATGGGCAAAAAGCCATGGTCCTGTGTACACATTGGCGTGTACATAAAAGATCCCTTGACGTTGGAATTCGATATAAGATTAGGTCGTAGTGCTGCTGTCCAGGCAAAATTTCCCCCATAGCACACTGTATGGTGTATGCTCTTCTACATAGCCCAGTTCAGAGCAGGACAGTAGGACGTTAAACTTCATTTCAACTAGGGTCAGTAATAAACAGTAATTGTTAGATGAGAAACCTTATCGATCGAATTTACCACACTAAAATGTCAGGATTTCTTTTCCAAAATGATTATTTATTATATTTCTGCCCCACTCAACTAGAATTAAACATATGAATCTACCTGACATGGGTACAGCATCACTATTATCTTGTTCATAATTAATGGTTTACTGTTCATTTTTATATGCCCGTACATACATGTAGTATGGGCATAAAATGCAGTTGCCCTGTTCGTTCACACTTGCTTGTCTGCTCTCTAAGAGGCAACAATTTTTGACAAATGTTTATCAAACCTAACGATAATGTTTCTTATGAGTAGGTGACCACAATCGCTATTTTTGTTGCTAAGGCTATGGTTCTAGCCCGGTTTGTTAGGGAAAATAATTATATAGGCTTCATATGTTACCAAAATAGAATACAAACCCACAAAATTAAACAATTTTAAGTTAATGAGTTCACACGTCTTTAGTTAAATGTTTTGTAATATTACTTATTTCAGCAATTATTCGATGAGTATCCCAAGTGCTTCATCGTAAATGCCGATAATGTTGGTTCCAAACAGATGCAGTCTATTCGTATGAATTTACGAGGAAAAGCTGGTAAGTTAAATTTCACATGGCACAACACCATTTTTCTGATGTTAGCAACTGAACTGTAAAATCAGGTTAACGTTTTAACAACAATCCACACTTTTATCAAATACATCACAAAAGTGAATGGCAATGAAATTTGTGTGTCTTGTTCAATACCGGAAAGCTGTGAGTATTGAACTCGATTCTAGATTAGAAAAAATAAAATTCAAGTCCCCAGATGTAACAACATGTGGACAGATTTTTACCCACTTTAAACAAAGAGGTCACTCATTTTCCATTTGATCTTGTAAATAAAGCCACTCCTTTGGAATTTCAGCATTTATTTTATCGTTTGAGTTGTTGAAATTTTGAATACTAAAACAATATTATTATAGTGTACTAAATAATTATTGCGTCAATATCATTTCTGTGATTATTTATAGTTGTATTGATGGGAAAGAATACTATGATGAGAAAGGCTATAAGAGGTCATCTTGAAAACAACTCGCATCTAGAAAGGTATGGTGAAAGAAATGATACCATTTTCTGAAGTCACTATGAAATCTTTGTGAATTAAAGTCCCATTTGAGAAGTAATACATTTTTCTTGAGTTGGTTGCTCGGTGAATGACAAAGTTCCTCTACTCTTTATCAACTTCTGTCCGGGGTTTTTGTTCTTGCCAGTTGTACACGACAAGGAGTAGGGTCGCCTGTCAAACCTCGTGGGTTTTCTCCGGGTCCTCCGGTTTCCTCCCACTGCTAAAGACCCCTATGCGCAAGCGAATTATTGAAATAAAATTAAACCCTATGTTAGTCCCAAAATGACCTAGTTTGTGTCAAGTGGACGTTGTAGTCATTTCTCTCTCTCTTTGTTCTTGCCAGCTCCAAAAGATCTGTTCCTTTTGATATTGGCAGGTATCGGACTGTAACTTATCTGATTTAAAAAAAAAACTATTTAAATTTCCTGAAAATCAGTCCGAAACTCCCAGATAAAATGGCAGCTCCCTGTACACAAATTGTGTTAAAGTATGTAATCTCGAGTTTGTGGACCCTCTAGAGGTCAACAATTGTTATTGATTTTTATGAAACTTAAAAAACATGTTTATATCACAAAGATCTCGGGTTCCTGTCGATAATCACACACATAGGACCATAATTTCTGGATTATGGCCCATGATTGTACCAAAAAAAACCGCAATTTTAGCTTCTGGACCCTCTAGAGGTCAGTTTTTGTCTGATTATAAACATTGTTTAAATATACCATCGTTAAACCATGATTATGGTTGAGTTCAAATTTCGTAAAAAGATTGGACCAAAACTGCCCAACAAAATGGCCGCTCCTTGAATGCAAATAATGTAAAAGTATGTAATTACAATGTTGTGGACCCTCTTAGAGGTCATAATTTTTATCCTGTTTTGATATGCTTATGTCCCAAAGCTCTTGGTTCTTTTCGATATTCGTGCATATCAGACCATATCTCCCTGGATTGTGACCCCAGATTGTATGAAAAATCAATTTGTATCGGATGTTAAAAAATGTTTAAATATATTGAAGTTTACACCATAATGAAAGTTAAGTTCGAATTTTGAGAAAATCCAAATGAAACTACCCAACAAAATGGCTGCTTCTTGTATGCAAATAGTGTAAAAGTATGTAATACCAAGGTTGTGGACCCTCTAGAAGTCAAAATTTTTATCCGATTTTTATGAAACTTAAAAATATGTCATGTCCCAGAGATCTCATTTACTTTCGATATTTGCACATTTCAGACCATAACTTACTGGTTATGGCCACTGATTGTACGAAAAATAGTTTAGTGTATTTTTAGCTTGTCCTCTATCCATCTCTTGCAAAATGTGGGCATATTTTGCATGGCAACCACTGGTTTTTATCCATATGCACATAACGGCAAGGAGAAATCAGGCTAAAAAATCAAAAGGATCTATCACGGTCCACATCAGGATTAATCAATTCGAAGGATCATGAACGAGCAAGTATTGGCACATGTTCCTGAAGCAACGACCGTGATCTAGACTGGTCTGCAATTCCCATACTTATAGCTACGTTATCTCCTTTTAACTCAGACATGTGAACGTTGGCATCCAATGACACACACTCAAATCAAACATGGCGACTTACACAGAAACTTTGACATTGAACGAACCTTAAACTTTGCAACTCGATTATCACAGACATTTTAGCTGGAAAGCACTAGACTTTGGTATTTTTGATGATCGATAATCTGATAGGCTTCCCAACTGGGTCAGTAGCCAATCGAAATTAGTGCCTATGTATGGGGAGGGTATTACATGAAGGGCTTGATAAGATGTACAGAGTTGAAGTGAGATCAGACCTTCTATTGAAGATGGCATTGGCATTACCAGACAAGTGTCCAAAAGTGGTTGATTTCCTTTGATATTGATCTTATGTAGGTATATTAACACATACTGTTTACTCATTCGAATATGCTTTCGAATACATCACCTAATTATGCTTGAGGGCAACCTAATACAAATAAATTTTTATTTTTAGAATCTTACCTAAAATTAGAGGTAATATAGGATTTGTTTTTACCAAGGAAGATTTGGTTGAGGTTCGAGATATCTTGATGGCTAGCAAGGTATGTTTATTTCTTTTGCACCATTCACATACCTGATGTCTTAACTACTCCCCCTCTTGGATAAAATTCTCATCGTACAAATTCATAGGAGGATTGAGTTAGTCTTCAGAAGAAAAACTTTCATATGTCATATGTTAGAATATTCCAAGGATACAGATACAAGATTTACAAAGCATGAATTTCTAAGCCTGTTCGTTTTGACCAGGTTCTTCCAGTGCAAGAGACCTGCACACAATTTAGATAAAGGAATGAAATTACTATACCATCAAAATTGCTTGTTAATCTTTTTGACCTGGCGAGTATGGCTGTGTTCGTTGGGAATATTTTGGTCAGTGATACCGGATAGGCATGGCCAACAAAAGTGTCTATAGTCATATGGATTGTACCAAAAACAAATATTTCTTTTTTTTACCATTGGCAGCATGTTAAAGATTGTCTGACAGTGGGAAATCAAAAAACAAAAGAGCAGGCCACAATGCCACTATCCAGGAACAATTTCCTGCCATTCTGTATGTCGTATGCTGTTTAACCTAATTTCATGATCTTTCATTTACATGTTCTCCTTTTGTTAAATTTGCTGTTTTATAATTAATAAAATATGTCTATGTATAGGTAAAAGCTCCTGCCAAAGCCAATGCTCTCGCTCCCTTAGATGTCAAGGTCCCAGCTCAGCAGACCGGTCTCGGTCCAGAAAAGACCTCTTTCTTTCAAGCTCTACAGATCCCTACTAAAATTACTAAGGGAACAATTGAAATCTTGGTAAGTTATAAATATTGAAACTAGTCTTCACTTTTACGAAATGGTGCAGGAGCCATAAGAAAACTGCCAATTTCAAAAATGAGAAAAAACAGCTCCTGTAGAAAAACTCTTTATTATAGAAGAGTAATTATACATTTTCTTGAACTAATGGGAGCCAGATTTTTTCAGTTTGATCACTCTTGTCAGCGTGCACAATTTGCACCAAACCAGTTTTTGCGTCCTTGTCCTCCAGTATTCCAATTTCAAAATGTTACATACTTGATAGTTTTGTGTCCATCTCGAGGCATAGCAATAACGACACAAGCAATACATAAAAAGTAGTTTAAACATGCATTATGCGAGAGCTAAATCTACCTATTGCAGGTCTTTCTTTAGGCCTTAAATGTTATCTAATTTATTATCAAAAGCACAATCAACTCTCGATGTCATCGTTAGTCTGCGATATTTAGTAGATTTGAATACGTTTTCTAATGGATGATTTAACGTAAAATTGGAAAAGGGAGACTTTGTTTATTATCGTACCAATGGTAGTAATGTCAATCAATGCTAGCCTAAAATTAAATTGCTAATATTTCGGCTCAGAGTGAAGCAATTTGAAATTTTCATCTTATTCTGTTTCCATTATCTATTTTTAACTATTATAGCGTGAACTGTTAGCTCTTTATCTAATCTTACCTAACGCCCCTTTTAACATTGTAATGTTATTGTATATGTTTCATGGTCTAACAAGCCATCTTTTCTCTAATTTTAGAATGAAGTAAACTTGATTAAAGAGGGAGATCGTGTCGGAGCCTCTGAAGCTACTTTACTAAACATGTTAAACATTTCACCCTTTACTTATGGGTTGGTCATCGAAAACAGTAAGTTGATATTATAAACTACTCAACTAGACATTGTAAACATACACTGTTATCCCTTTAAAACTAAGCAGTGGAAAACTGAACCTTACTTTATTGTATTCTTACATGCCTACACCATAATAATATTTAAACTCCAGTTTGGGGGTCACGGTGGCTAAGTGGATAAGACGCCGGCTCGCTAGCCTGGAGGTCGGGTGTTTGATCCCTGCATTGGCTGAGAAAGTTCATCCAGATTTTCCAGCATGGCTCCCCCTTGTCAGTGATGCAGGACGAAGGGCCTGACAAAGACAGCTGTCTAGTCGTTCTGATGGGATGCAAAACCGAGGTCCCGTGTACACTTTGGAGTGCCCATAAAAGATCCCTTGACAGTTGGAATTCAATATGAATAGGTTGTAGTGCCGCTGTCCAAGTAAAATTTCCCTCATAGCATACTGTATGGCTTATGCTCATCTTCATTAGCCCAGTTCAGAGCAGAACAGTAGGATGTTAAACCCATTTCATTTGAAACTCCAATTTACTGATAAATACAACTATTTCACCAGTGAATTCCATATAATATTTACAAATCAAGGAATTACTATCAAACTACCCGAAATCCTGAATTTTTTTTTTGTATATTTACAGTTTATGATTCTGGAACTATCTTCAGTCCTAGAATTTTAGATATTACTGATGATTACTTGAAGGGCATCTTCATGGATGTAAGTATCATTATTGCTTGTCTTAAATCAAGTGTTAAAAAAAAAAAAAACAATGACAGTTAGTTTCATTATATATGTAAATAGTTGGCTTATTAAAAGTTTAACATGGAAAACGTTTGATTTGATAAAGGCAAGTAAATAAAAGTGAAGCAACATGATGAATTGATCCCCATCTGTTGTAAAATAGGCTCCATATGAATACAGGGGCGAAATAAATATGTAATTGGAGCTATTTCAATCGTTAAGTAACCAATCATCCCAGTTGGTGTAGTAAAGTGTTAAAACACATTCCATTTATATCTACTTTCAGGGTGTAAGAAATATTGCTGCTATTTCACTGGTTGTTGGTTATCCAACAGTAGCATCTGCACCTCACTCTATTGCAAATGGTTTCAAAAACATATTGGCTCTTGCTTGTGTTACTGACATCACCTTCAAGGAGGCAGAGAGGGTAAGTTTGAGAATATGTGACCACTTTTGTCTTAATAATGACATGATTGAATTATCTGGCAAATGCTATTATACGCCTGCTTATATAATATATCGAATCCGCCTTTGCTCAGTGGATAAGGCACTAGTTCGATCCGGATGTTGGTCGAGAAATTTCCACAGGCTTTTCCAACATGGTTTCCCCTTGCAGGTCATAAAACCTGGCAATGAATTGTGTGGTCATTCGGATTGCATGAAAACCCCAAGGTCCAGTTGAAAGTAAGAGTAAGGCCGCGGTTAATTAATTGTCTGTTTCTCATGACCCGCCCGCATGTCTGTTTTCATCCGTAATAATCACGCACTTCTTTAATTATTCGGTCAAATTTAGTATTTATTAGTAAGGAGAAAATTCGTTGAAAATATTTGTGAAGTTACATTTTTTTGGCCACGCTATGAACAATCTATTTATTTTATTCATAAATATGTAACTAAATATGAAGTATATATTATTATACTGTGCTATTATACGCGTCTGCGGTGTATAATTAACTCGGCAAAAATACGAAGTCTGTCCGTAAACAGGAAGTTCTACTATGAAGCCAGCGCGATTACCCAGACACACTTTAGTCAGTGATTTTGACAAGAGTCGTCTTGGAAGAAATTTTAATACATGGTTTCATATATTGTCTAATAAATTCCATAAACTCGGCTTGTAAACTTTTTCCATTACGGATTTATGTTAATTTCTGATTTATCGCTGAGACGTATTTAAAAAGGTATGACAGTAATACAATGTAGATCCATAGAACTAGAATACTATGGCGTTTGTAGCGCCATCTATTTTCATAACACTATATTAACCAGTCACGTTTTTCCTTTGATTTATCCTTACTGGATAATCGTAGCTGTAAAGCAGGCAAGCAGACGGAATAAATTGATAAATTTCGTCTGCTCAGCACAACAAAATGGTTGTTTGCACGTGTAGTTGTCCTGACGAAAAATTTACTTGTACTGTTGAAACCAACAGCAAAGATTTTTCAAGAGAATGATTCAGTTACAACCGTATGTGCCTCATTCGTAGAGAAATGCGAGACACTCGCACATATCGATAGTGAAAATGAAAGTAGAAACATGTTACGGGCGACATTAAATTAGACTTAGTACCGACTCAAGATTCGTTTGAATTTGATGAAGTTTTGGTCAGAAATGGAAACGACTGGATCACTATTGACCAGAGATCTTTTGATATAATAACTCTAAAGTTGTTGGAAACTTTAAAATACCGTATTAATATTAATTGTGTTCAAAAATTAAAATAATATCAACTCAGAAATTAATATTAATGTGTTTGAGGTAAAAATGCCTAAATTCAAAGAACTTTCTTAGGAGGAGTTGCTAAAGACTTTATCTTTAATCAAATAAATTTTTATATTTTAGAAATAGATCGCATACTCATAAGAAATCTGATGAATTATACTAGGCCCTAGTCCTGAGTCCCTAATAATAGCCAGTGTACATGTAGATGTTCCCAGACTGAGAGTTACTTTAAAAGACCTCTTCCTGTGTACTTACTCCTCAATGAACTGAAGAGCTTATTATAAACCACAGCATGCCCATAGCTATAAGAGTTCATGTTGCTTCAATTTTTTCGACAAGTTTTGGATTCCAACTCAATAATTAATAATTACCTCATGTAGCATGTTGTTTTCAAAAACTCAGGTCATGAGAAACATGCAATTAATTAACATCGGCCTAATCTGTATCATCGCGGTCCATGCAATATTTCCCCCATAGCACACAAGGCACATGTCCATCTACATTAGCCTAGTCGGTGAAAAAAGTAGACCTTCAACCCCATTTCATTTATAGGATGTATATTAGCACAAAAAAACAATTAATAATGTTTAATGAATAAATCAATGTTTTTATTTGTAGACCAAAGAATATTTGGCAGATCCATCTAAGTTTGCTGCAGCTGCTGCGCCAGCTGCTGCTGCTGCAGGTGCCCCTGCCAAGAAGGAAGAAGCCAAGAAAGAAGAATCTGAGGAATCTGATGACGACATGGGCTTTGGTCTCTTTGACTAATTCCTCGCCAATCAACCAACATTGGACAAGGCATTTAAATTCTACAATGCCGAATTGCTGAATTCAGTTCATATGGCTTGTGGAATTGACAAATAAAAAAGACTTGTCAAGAAATACTTGTTGTTTTTATGTGCCCACAGTTCATGTTCCAGTATGTCACCCCTTTCCATCAATTGTATGGGTTATTGTCCCTGACCCTGAAACTTGTTCGCGTATGTTTGTTGCTGGACAATCCTGTTTATCCAAATATTGCGACACAGGTTGTTAAGTGGCAGCTCCTATAGTTGCAGCTAAAGTTTCTTCAAAAATTCCACATTAACCAAAATGTGTTTTGTTCATGAATCAGATTTCCAAGCAATGAGGCAATTTGCATCAAAAATTCTAAGATAACATTAAAATGTGTTCATAATAATAATATACTGTCTGCCTACTACACAATACAATTGAGTTTAATGGTTCTATTCTGGTGTTGGACGTGAAAGATTACCAGGAGACTTGGCCTAGCAAGGACTGCATCTAGTTATTCAGATGGGATGGAAAACGAGGGCCTGTGTGCACGTAAAAGGAGACTTGACAATTGGAATTTTCAAAGTAAAGAGTAGGCCATAGCGCTGCCATCAGGCTAAAATTTTCCCCCCAAAGCATGCTGTATGCACGACGTCTTCATTAGCATTGAAAAGTAAGACCTTGAACCCAATTTCATTTCCGTATTGGGGGGATATCCGTAATGAAATGGGGGTTTACACTGCTTAGTTGGAATGTATTTTTTTTCTGCACAGAAATGTCCCTTGACGGAATCTTAACAGTTTTCCACAATCGTGAGTTTTAGTGAATATTTAAAATTGGCCCTAAATTATTGAGTTAATCTATTTGGGTTATTTCAAACGTACAACATGAAATGAACTGGATTCAAAATACATGTACTAGAAAGTGCTAACTTTTAGATTGAACAGGTGGAAACGCCGCAGTTGAGTTGACCCTTCATAACATACTTGCCTTGAAAAGATAACGTTATTTTCAATAACCGTTCTATGAATGTAGCCAGTCATACTATACAGGCCTAAAAGTTCTACTTTACTCTCCAGATCCATTTTTATATACCTGGTAAGATATTAGCCGTATGAAGGAAGTCTATGGAAATTATTATAATGGAATTTTATGTACACTTTACTTACAGTTACAGACTAAAAATGTGATTGTTTTTAAAACGGATTGCTTAAAGTTGAAAGGTTGTTATACGGGGCCGCAAGGCGGTGTCTGCCATATTGTGATTTGTAATTCATGTGGCGGAGACAGTCGTAACTTAAAAGAAAATATGTCAGAATTAACTATTATTATCACTTAAAATGTGTAAATAGAATATGAAAATACACAAGGGAATGTATGGACTTATATTTTTGTCTGATCACGTGACCGTCAATTCATTTTATGTATAGTTCGCTTTGAACTGATATCCCCTAGCCGTCTCTAATAACATCTTTCCCAATTCAACGGAATTATCATTGAGCTAAAAATCGAATGAGTATCTGTTATCTCTCTCTACTTAAATAGTATGGTTAACTCGTGTTTTCCTTCTTTTTTTTGCGTCACTTCCTGATTCTTCAAATCTTTGTTTCAATCAAACAACCATAGCAAAGAACTGTGTTAGAATTATATATGGAATGTGTTTAACCAAATCTACACACATTATGTAATATTGGCTGACACCATCACTGTCCTTTAAAAGAAGCTGTAAAATTAGGAAGTGGCTATACAATGTAATTAACACGTCATTATTTTTCTGCGAATTTGTGGCTCTGATTTTCTACACTCAATAAGATCGAACTGTTAAAGATAAAAGAATTTAAATAGATTAAAAACCTAAAGATCTGTTAATTAGATCGACATATGGCCCATTTTCGACGGATTTCTGTTAAGCTTTGAATACGTGCATGTCTTTGCCCCAGCAAATTTAAAATTCCCTGCCGTTACTCTTATTTTGTTGAATTTTTATTTAGACTACTGACCCCCTTTCCAGAAAGCAAAGTTAGTACTTAATGTGCACGTAAATCAAACGTTTCTATACCGTGCGTGTTTCGTTCGATTTACATGCTGGTAAGTATTGCAGATGCTTTGTGAAACTGGAGGGGGTGGGGAGGAGCTAAGCGCATCAAACTCTACACCGTCTCTTGAAAGAAGCCCCAGGTAGGAGAGAGGAAAATAAGGTTTAACGTCCCTCGTCACAAACTAAGTCATTTCGGGACTAACGTATGGTTCAATTTCATTTCAATAATTCGCTAGCGCGTAGGGATCTTTAGCAGTGGGTGGACCCGGAGAAAACCCACGAGGCGTACCTACTCCTTGTCACTTACAACTGGGAAATCGAAACCGCGCCAGTTGTCTCAATGAAGACTTTTTGATACATCCCACTTGGGGATCGATCTAAATGCATAAAATAAAATCGGGGAAAGTTTATCTTTCCTTTAAATCTCTATTCAGTATTTTGTTACAATCATATTGAATAGAAGGGTTAGTGTTCCGTTATTATTACAATACGATTGACACCATAACTGCAAGCTATGGTATAAAGGCTATGTGAGGACCATTCATTATATTCATGATATATGTGTTCTATAATCACGACGGAATTCACCTTTACCACGGTATATATTGCCGATATACGTGATTTATTACTGTGTAGTATTCAATACAAGATTATGCTCATGTCAATGACGCCTTGTAAGTGACTTAATATCTATTTGTCGCGTCCTTAGTAACCAACATGAGTTTAAGCGATACATAGTTACAGTATAATTTTACAACAGATTTCTAAAAAAAAATCTGATTTTTCGCTACCTATTCAAATCTCTTCCTCATTGTAAATTGATAAAGAAAGGACCTTATTTAATTGCCTATCATCAACCAAAAAAACGCCAAAAAGTAAGAGAGTAATCTATTTATAGTTATTTATTGTTGTAAGAGCTGTATTCACAAGTCGCCCAAACTCAAGACAAGTATCTTATCAACAGCGTTATTAATATACTAAAGATTTTGTTACCTGTATCGAGTAAGAAGTGGGGAATATTGAGTATGGTATATTTAATTAATTAGTTAATACCGGTAAGTATATTAGAGATTGTTTAATACTGTGGTATATCTATTGTTGCATATCGTATCTTTATTAAAATTTAATACTAATATATATATATATATTAAATAACCCGGGGCGTGAAATATAGACTAGTAAATATATTTAATGCTTGATATTATACTATATTTACTGTGGCATATTAATACAGAAACACATTATTAATAACCAATGCTGTGAAATGTAGACTAGATACATGTTTTAATATTGTGCTATATTTTTAATATTATACTATATTTACTGCGTCATGATTCTGTTTTAAAATACAGAAACATTACATTTGATAACTAATGCTGTGACATAGCCTAGGTGGTGTATTTACTAATAATGTATTATTTAATACAGCGGCGATATGGCCTACTCTTGTTTCCAATTTCATCTGTCAAGTGATTTTTTTTACATGCCCACCAACGTGTAAACGGTTTTTATCCTATCCAAACGACTAGACACTGGCAAGGAGAAAACATGCCGGAAAATCCCGAGGAATTTCTCGACCAACACCGTGATTCCCATTAATAAGAAGTCAGATGAAACATTTCTTCGATATTTCAGAGGGGGGGCCACCGTGACTCCCATTGTTCTTACCCTTCCCCCAGGGCACAACATTGTTTATCAACAAGATTACATTGATGTATGTATTAGTGAGTAAGGGGTTCTGAGATTAATGAAGTCAATCTAACACAACACAAAAAACAAGAAATTTGAATCTACAACTATCAGTTAATAATCACTTTCCCGCCATTTTCTCCTGTGTAGTCAACACCAACTCTTTGCACCACATATTTTTTGAGTGTGAAATAACCTTATTTTAAGGCCCTCCTCCAGAATGAAGTGACAACCACAAATTTAAATTTAAAGGGCGTGTGGTTCTATTTTTTGGAACCTTAAAATGACCCCGTTGGCCAGGGGGTGGGGGCAAATTCTTTCCAAATTTAAAAATGTGTTTAAAACTTGTCGAAAATAATGATTGATCGGGTAACATAATATTTTAAATTTTCCCCAATGTTCTGAGAAGTATGCCGGACTGCCCGCGTAGGCATACCGTACCTACCTCCTTCAGGGGCCTCAGGCAGAGGCGTAGCCGTGAAATATATATTGGGGGTCTGCAAATGAAATTATATAAAATGTTGACAATCTGTGACGCCGGAGGCACGAGGCTGTGCAGCAGCTAATGTAGCGCGATAGGGAGAGTGTGGGAGGGTCACCCTCCCACTGGGGGGGGGGGGGCACCACCATAAAATTTTTTTAAAAGTTTCAGTCTTCTGTAAACACTGTTTTGGCATATTTTACGGGGTTAAACTAAAACATCACACCAATACAATGTTTATCATGTTTAAGTCAGGGGGTGCCGTATTCATATTTTTTTCTTGACCTTTACATATTGAATGTTACTCTTGAGTTATGAACAACACGACAAAGGGGGTTTAGTAGGGGAATTTTTATGAGGAGGATCCAAGTATATTCAGCCCCCCCCCCCGAAAAATAATTGGGGGATCGGACCCCCCCCCACCCCCATGGGTGACGCCCATGAGCACTGCTTAAAATAAATGAAAATTGGTCTAAAAGCACATATTTATGTAATATGAATACGGACGTTAAACTCCATTCCATTTATTGGCTAATGTCTGCGATGAAACAGGTTACATTTTATTGCTGACAGTTGTAAATTATTGATCTGTTCTTAGTACAAACAGACGACATGTTGGTTTTCAGACAGACGACATGATGAGGTAAGTCAGTCTGATTTGAGTTGAGGTTCTGTAGTCCCTATAGATCTGTTGAAGATAATTCTGTAAATACAAGTTTGCGAGACTGAGGGTATGTAGAGCAAAATATCCCCGTTTTTGAGATTTCGTGATTCCTCACGTGCTGATTATGGGAACCGACGCATGCGATTGGTAATTTGTGTTTTGTGATTTTCATATTCGATGTGTGGAAAATTTATTCATTCCTTATTGCACCGGTACATTTTTTGCTAATCTCGGTAAGAGCCTGAGTGGCGAAGAAAATTAGGCCTGTGCAGAGTACGAGCAGGAACCAGGAGCGTGGTGACCGCCGATACATGATCCCATGGAGACACAAAAACCCAATAAATGTGTATTCGTTGCGGAGTCGGGGTGGGTGGGGGCCCTATCCATAATATGTATTCCATTTGAGATGGGGTGTAAAAACTCAAAATCCATCAGCACAGAGCATCACTGTAAGCTTTTCACTGTTAAAACAAAAAGCAATGTTTTTGTGGAAAAGTAAAATGTTGGCTCCAACTGAAAAACAACACTGCAACCCTCACAAAAGAGCCACCCTCCTCCATTCTGTGGGCACACAACTGCAAGTGAATTACTCAAATACAAATTGCCGAGTTCTTCTCTTTAGCAGACGTTGGTTCACGAACGTTGGTTCCATCCATGTGTTCGTCGACAAAGTTCCTCTTGATTTCCAGGCCTGACTCTCTGTTATCACTGCATGTAGTGCAAGAGGGAGGGCTTAGCAAGGGACATGGTCTGTTTGGATGGGGCGAAAAAAAGGGGTTTGGTGTGCACGTTAAAGAACCATTGGTAGTTGGAATTCGACGAACAGTATTCGGAAATGCTGTTGTCCAGACAACACTTACCTCATATCCCATTTGATTAGTCTAGTTGGTGGAGAAACATACGACTTTAAAACCCTTTTCATTTCTCTCTCTCGCAAACACCCTATCGTGTTATCGCTGTAACGTGACGATAACATTCGATTAATGTTGAATAATTTAACGAATGTATAAAGATTAGATCACGTTAGCTGTTTTACACATTCATCTAAATGGAAATTCAATATTTATTAACGAACCCTAAATCAATAATTATTGCCGCATTGATATTTAGTTTGGTTTTATAAACTGGTGATAGAGGATAGAAACCGTGTGTTGTTTGTTGATTTTGATGGGTTTTTTTTATATTTTATACCCTTTGTATGCATTTTTTAAGCATTCGATTCACACAGTGTACAGTAAACATAGCTGGCAAATCGTTCTAATTTCAAGAAATGAAATGAAATGAAATCAGGTCCAACGTGGGGATAAATGAAAACAGGTCTACGCCATGGTGTGTGCTATTATAGGCGCATTGTTTACCCTTGCAGTTGCGCTACGACTTACTCTTAGATTTCTTAACGATCAATGAATCTTTAACGTGCTGCCAATGGTATACACGGCATCTGTGTTTTTCGTCCCATCCGAATTGACGACTGTCATTATATATTTTTTCGAAGTCTATTTAAAGTTACAATTTCATATTTTTAAGTTATATTTTTAAAATAATTAAAATAAAGCCTTAAAATAGGTGGTATCTATAAACAGTCCTACCTTGTTAAAGAATAATCCTATTAATCCTGTAATTCACTGTTGTCAGTTGAGAAATTGGCAAAAATATCATTTTCTTCTTCAAATTCAAACGTTTGAAGATAGCTACTCCATGGTGGAGAATAGAAAACAAGGGAGGCAATTGGGAGGTAATTGTGTTATTATTTTCGGTGTAAATGAGTTTTAAGTGTGAGAATGACACCTATGATCGTATAATAGTGAGTTAACAACCTATTGAGCAAAAGACATAGAAATAATTATGTTTTGACTTTCTTAGAAAATATGAAATTGTAACTTTTAGATCGTTGTTAAGCAAGGATAGTGTTTATTAAGATTTTACATGCCTCACTATTTTATTACGCAACAGATAAGCCTTCTCGAGTGTTTTTTTTTTATATATCTCCTCAGATATAAAAAAATGTGGCGTAATTCTAATTCAAAATAGAAAGTAATCTTTAAGTTATCTTCAAATTGTAGTAAAGTTTCCCTATAACGTTGTAACGCGCATAAAAACGTAATTATTAGTTATAACGCTTTATAATCTAGATCTGTCTTAATTATTTTTGAGCTACACTTTTTCGGGCGGTTTTTCGGTTTATTACAGTAAAGTTTTCTTTTAACGTTTTTGTATGTAATGCTTCCCATCTTATGCCTGTAAATATATTGGTTATACAACTTTACAATTTAAAGGAGCTAAATTGCTAATATTTGAAACCTAGAAATTGACACAAATGGGTCGCAGCGCATATAATGATGCAATATGAATGTATATATAAACTGATTTACATTCAATCGTTTCCGTTTTTACTCTAATTTCAAATCAGTTATCTTCGGCGAAATACGCGTGAAGTTTCAATTGAATAGCAATCTCTAGCGTCTGGTACATTCCAGTCTACATCGATAGTATTTATTGCGCATGCTCTTCAGATGAGAATATGGCGTCACAGTTTGACATAACTAGTGGAATATGTCTAGATTCGTTCTTCGAGTCCCTTGTTACAAATGGCGCTGGAACGCATGCATGGTACAATATTCGTGTACCAAAGGTAACATTTTATTTTGTCTTAAATATTAGATATCAGAAGCCCATCTTTTCCCGATAAGATCATAACATCAATGTTGATTTAAATTGATAATTAATTCGTGTTTTGAATGTCGAAGACTTTGGATGATATTGAGTTAGAGACTTAGCTACTTTAAGGCATCGTTATTTCCGAACAACAAAGTAATGTTTTTTTCTGTTCTATAACGTTATTGGTTATAACTACATCAGGAAGCTGAATGTTCTATTCTGAAAAGGGTGTGTACATTCAATTTCAAATAAATTTCTCTGTCCTGCAATTGATTGAAATATTCCATCACTTTATCTAATAAAATGCATTTTGTTGATTAGCATTTTAAATTGATCTATTATGTCCATGTCATATTTCACCCCCCCCCCCCCCCACACGCACTGAAAACTAAATAAATGTTTATCCTACCACTGGGATGTATTCGAATCAATACTTTGTAGCCTTAGTTATAGTTAATAAAGCGCTTCTCTTTGTTCCATCTCTTTCTTTCTCGCTTTTAAAAAAAAAAGAAAAAAAAAGTTTGCTGTGTTTGTTTTTTAAAAATTAATTTTATTCCTGATAATTCTATGGAGAATATCTCAAGGCAAATATTGCTGTAGCCATGCACTATTCATATTTAGACATAATTATGTGTAAAGTCCACTTTTCTCACCAATTACCTACTTAACGTATCATACTTCGGCATGTCAATAAATTGACAATAATTAATTTAGTATAGCCGTTGGTTATATTGATACAAGTTTCGTATCGATCTTATAACATGACGTGTTCATGTTATGTAAAAGTCTCATAAGGCAAGGAAAAAAAATAGCCGTGTTTACTATACGGGTTACTTGGGCCCAAAAATAGAGTTGGAAAATCTTTGTATTATCTATTTACTAGCATTTGTAACTTAATTACTGAATAAGGTTTCTGAAAATTACACCGAAATTTCAATGTTATAGCCTATTAAATTGAAATTTCGGTATAATTTTCAGGAACCTTATTCAGTAATTAACTTATAGGGTCTGAGAAATGGGAAAAAAAGCTACGGCAGTTGATTTCGACTACAAAAAGGGGGTAGGGGCTAATTGATTTACTGGTCGTTATCTAAACCGACATCTGTTTTTTAAAACAAGACACAGTGTGGACGTATTGAAGGGGCGTCACGACAAAATAATATTATCTTAATCTCAGTAAGATGTTTATAATGTATCTATAGCCTCAGTTTGAAGTTTAGAATGTATCTAAAGCTCAGTAAGTAAGATGTTTAGAATGTATCTAAAGCCCGGTAAGTAAGATGTTAAGAAGGTTTCTCAGAATGTATCCAAATCTAAGTAGGGTGTATAGAATATTTCTATATAAATCGCAGTAAGATGTTTAGAATATACCTAAAGTCCAGTAAAATGTTTATTATGTATCTAAAGCCCAATAGGATGTTTATAGTGTATCTAAATCTCACTAAGATTTATGTAATGTATCTAAATCTCACTAAGATATTTATAATGCATCTAAAGCCCAGTAAGTAAGATGTTTAGAATATATGCAAAGCCCAGTAAGTAAGATGTTTAGAATGTACATGTATCTAAAACTCATTAAGATCTTTAGAATGTTTAGAATGTATCTATATAAATCTCAGTAAGATGTTTATAATAAGCTCAATAAGATGTTTAGAATATATCTTAAGCTCAATAAGGGGTTTATAATGTACCTAAAGCTCAGTAAAATGTTAAGAATAATATAAAGCTCAATAAGATGTTTAGAATATTATAAAGCTCAATAAAGAATATATCTAAATCTCAATAAGATATTTATAATATATCTAGAGCTCCGTTGCCTGTCCGTATTCTTCTTTTTAAATAATCCAATGGCGATTTAGCAGTAGGATGACTTAAACCAAGGAATGTCTGTTTAATTGCTTTGTGGAGGCATTAAGGATTAAAGTTATCAATGATAATACATAATGAACGAACTATTATTATAAGATCTAATACCATTATATCATAAACTTAAAAATATTGATTTTTTTTCTTTTTCAGATCGACTACATGGTGTCGTATTGATCGCGACACATAGGCGATATCAATCAAGTCAGTAGGGTATTGTGTCTTATTTACTGCGACAATAGGGTGTCGAAAAGAAGAAGTCATTTATTCCATTTTCGTTAAATAAGGTAGCCATAGGGTAGGAATTGGACTGAAGTAATATTTGCATTACCCGATCATATTATTCAAGAAATCCAGGATATGTGCCGAAGGATGGCTGGCAGCAAAAGTTAAATTGAAAGACCAGAATTGGCAAGAAGAACAGTCCTACCCTTTGAAGAGTTTTCAATATGGCGTCTTCGTTTCTTGGTCCCGAATCACCTAAGCCGTATGCCGTTATCTCTGAAAGTTACGAACCCTGGTTTAATATTCCGAGATTTACCAAAAATGACGATTTGAGTTTTGGTGAAGTTTACGAAGAAAAGATGCGAGAATATCTGTACAAATATTTGGATATTGGAACCACGGATAAAATTTGTTACGTCGGAGAATTCCGGGACAGTATTGTTGACATTCTTCAAGACAAGTTCTGTCTTTTGACACCAATCACCAAGGTGTTTCCCGCGCATTTCCACTACGCACACACCGACCACAATAGAATATTACCCATCAGAATTAAGAATGTTGGAACAGAGGAATATTTCCGACGAATGGCGGAACTCCCTGATAACGAACGCAACGTTTTTGACAAAATCATCTTAAAGGATACTGCTCATTTCTTGGAGAATCCCCGAGAAGTCTATAAAAACATTTTAAAATGTCTGAGTGAAAAGGGATTATTGTTAATCATTGATAGGCCTACTCCTCTTAATACGTTGCCTATCTCAGAATTGGCGCGAAAAAGATTTGAGGATTACGAAGCGCCGTATATGAGAATTCTCAAAGACTTACAAGACAGCCATCTCCATGCTGAATGGGAGATAGAAACTATCCCCATAGTGATACAGAAACGTAAATGGTACACATTACTGAAGGAAAAGTATCCGCCAAGATTTCGCGCGCTTTCTCACGTGGAGGTCATGTCAAGTGTGCGTGAGTTAACGGAAGGAGTAATGAAGTACCACGAACCTATTGTCCAGTTCTCAGACCGTCTTCTCTTCATTACTGCCTGTGCGCCTCAAAATCCCTTAGTGTACCCAAATCTTCAGCGTTATAGTCGCAATGAGTACGTTCCGTTTCCAGGCTTACAGAGAACTTATGAGCTAGAAGTTACTCCTGAGTTAGAGAGTATGGTTACACCCAGGAAAAAGAAAGAGGGTGAACCGTTTAAGTTTTTGTGGTGATTGGAGAGCAGTCACCAACAATCCATCGTGTGTATTTACCTTTAACCCAGCTTTATCGTCAAACTCATTGTATCCCTGGCATTATTCAAGGGATTGGACACTATCCTTAGCATTATTTTATATAGAAGTAAAGTGATTCAAACTTAAATTAATAGATAACAATGTTGTTCATTCATTTTTCAAGCACGGTGATATTTTTTTTGAAATTACGAAGCTTTAATTATTCACGATGTGCATGTATGGGCGTTATAATATAGGGTCCATGGTGTATCCGTTGAACGGCGGCGCATATAGCACTTAGACCTGCCATACTATCTCGCTAACCAGAATTATGGGAGTGGTTTCAGAATCTGCCGAATAACTTTTCTGAACCCTAAATCATTTTCGATTTTCATAAAAATTGATAATCAAGACTTTGATTGTGTATGTCTTAAATATCTTAAACTGTATATTTAACCTTTATTCTGACATGTAGAGATTCTAGTTTATTAATATATTATTCTGGTGCTTTAAAGTGATAATAAATTCTGTTGGGATATGGCGGATCCGACAGATAACAATAAAAATGAATAAAGAGGAACTCTCTCCTTTAAGTGGGAGATATAGTGGACTTGCTTTATGTAGATATATTATTAGCATATTTATTCCATTATTCATATTGTTAAACCTTCTAGAATTTTTAGTTTGTTGCTAATGTTATTATATTATGCAATTATTATAATTAGACGCAAATAAAACGGTTTTAGCTTTAACGTTACAGTTTTTTTTACAAACGATTTAGTGATGCAAAATATACCCAGGATCCTGAAAGGCGCTGAGTATTATATTTGGACATTTCGGACAATGTTTTCTTTGGCCACGTCTTAATCCACGCAAAGATGTACTCAATTTGATTATAATTAAGAAAACAACATTAAAATATCAACGGTAGATAATCTGTTGACTTGGATTCAATCGGATCAAAAGATTTTAGCGAAGATTTTAGTTGCACATGGCTTGTTTTGGCCCATTCTGCACACAGCGATCTATCTACTTCATACTTCGAGAATAAATCTCTGTCCTGAATGGCCGTCATTGTTTTGTAATGTGTTTCTACGATGTTCACACTTGGCATACACACAAAGACTAAATAAACCTTTTAAATTCCATTAAATGGAAGCAGAATAAATAATTCTCAAAATTATCGAAGTATACTTAGTGTTTTCGACTAAAATCGTCGATTTGGGACTTAAAATGTCGGCCAACTAGGTTAGTGTCTGTTCTCAAGCGGAGCTAACTGTAGACAGACAGCCTAATGAATGTATAATGAACAGAGTTGAACCATTTGGACTGATATTCCTTTTAGAGATTTAACTTTCATAATATTGTAGTTTGTACGGGATTAAAAATCACTTAAATAACAATAACTGGACGACCACAAGACACAATAAACAAACAAAAATTGCTCCCCCCCCCCATCGCCAACCTCACGAAACTAAAGTTTCTTGGGGGGGGGGGGGGGCATCTTACATATTTTAGGCAGAAATTATGATTGAGATCTTACATCGGCTCCAATCCCATTCATAATACTGAGCAAAAAAAATATGAAACATTTGTCATGAAAAGGGGGTTGGATGGCCGATGGTTAGCACGTGCGCGCTGTATCATACGGTCTGTCATTTAGTCAACTGGCGGGACATGTTCCTGAAGCAACGGCTGCGAGTTTCACAACATCTCAAGCCTTCTATTGATGATACTGGCGGGGTTTCGATTCCCCGGTTTTAGTGACAAGGAGTAGCGTCGCCTGTCCAATCTCATGGGTTTTCCCCGGGTCCTCCGGTTTCCTCCCACTGCTAAAGGCCCCCTACGCGCAAGCGGATTATTGAAATGAAATTGAAATGACCTAGTCTGTGTCGAGTGTACGTTAAACCCCATTTCTCTCTCTCTCTCTCTTCGTCATGAATAATGCAATCAGGATAGGCAGAAATGTGCATCTAAAGAAAAAAAAACGCCCAATACCCAAATTTTAATGTGTAGCAGACATCAGTATTTTTCTGTGAACTGTTGAGAGGGATCACATGCGTAGAAGACATTATACAGGGTTTTGCCCGACTTTATCAATATATTGACAGAATGAATTATGCACTTTTGCAGGAAAACAGCAGATCTTTTAATCTAAATGTTATTTTTGTCATGAGTTCCCTGCCCTTACCTTTGTATGACTGAAATGGAGTTTACTTATCTGCAACCAGGCTAATGATGATTGACCTACAGCCAGATAGTATATAATGAGCGAAATTTTTCCCAGACAGTGGCGTTTCCGCGCCTCTTCACTGAATTCTAACTGTTAATGGATCGTGGGTTTTCGTTCCACGCGTGACCCGCCATTAAACACAATACAATTCCATTCATTTCATTTTTCCATCTGAATGACTAGATACAGGGCTGGATTAAGGCGGGCTGACTGGGTGGGCACCAATATTTAAGGGTTCCCAAATGTTTTCTAAAAACAACTGCACCATATACATAACTATAACGGTGTTGTATATGTTTGTGCCAAATAAATCTACCTATCCACCACACTGACATACAAGTGGCATTTGTGTTAGCGTGACTGTTTAATATAACCACAACACGTCTCTCTTTTACCTTGATGCGAAGGCAAATTTTGCACAAGGGAGACATTCCTCACAACACCGGCCATGGTGAATTGACGAAATCTCGCGTTGATAAACGAGATGATGGTTTATTTTTAGCGACACTGACACGCATCGCGTGCTAGGGTTAGGGTTGGGTTTGGTCCAAAAATACGGGTTTGGTCCAAAAATTCTGACGTCATGTGCAATTCAAAGTGATTGACCCCGTGAGGAATGTCTCCGCGGCGACCAAGCTTGCGAAGGCCAGAGTGACATTTTCATGCAGCAACCCCATTTAAGCTTAATCCGACCCTGACTGGACCCTGTTCCAATCGCCAAAGGGCCAACCAGGCTGAAAACTCCCGAAGACCCTTCCCTTGACTCAACCACCCTGGTTCCCTTTAATGATCAAAAACATCGTTAACAATCTGTATAAAGAGGATGTTATAAATAGTGTTTCGTCTGTTCCCAGCATCTGGACGTTAAACAGTTTCTCTAATCTTTTTAACAAAAGATCGGATCAACTACCTCACATCACAGGTCTATAGGCTATTTATAGTACCTTACGTAATGGCAACGCCCAGCGAGGTCGTGGTAGACAATAATGATACACTGTTAAAATGTAAGCACGACTTGAACATCGATCTAAATGTAAAGTCGATGAATTCAAACGTATTTATATTTAAACCAATTACAAAGTAACGCGCAATTCAAATATGGTGTATGGCAATTTGATTGTATTTCTTGCTTTTATATATAGAAACATGCAGAATGCTACAAAGATTGGTTATCCTTCACAATATCGAGGTATGTGAACTACAGCTGCTACTGGAACTGCGTTTCTGACCACCATCTTTGTGAATTGTCTTCTCTTGATGTGCACTGTTGACCGTTTATATAAAAATAACAGTATGTTAATCTCGTCCCGAGACGAAACATTAATTCTGCCCCCTGTGTAGTAAATGCAGACCTTGTGGAAATCTGAAAAAAATACTTGTTACTGGAACGTTTTGTCTATGGAGCAACCTAAATTAGATACCACACTGACGGCGATGTTCATAGTTTGAGATGAGTTACCCTTTAGGCAATGATTGACAATAAAAATGGCGACATGAAATCAATAGAAATTAATATGAACTGTATTTGGCAATAGCTTACATCATTAATATGAACTGTATTTGGCAATAGCTTACATCATTGAACGATTTTAATAATTGAGTCGATATGGTTGTTGTCAAGACAGCTTTTTATTGTGTATCATCTGTAATATTTGCCTGAAAGATTTAAATCGTTGCCGCATGCATACAAACAAATACAGGCCATGTTGATTTGAACATTTTAGTTTTTACCATGTCTGATCATGATACAGACCATTACGTCATGTACACATCGCCTGTGGTTTTATAGTGTTATAGTATGGAGGATGCAACACATTAAAAGCCATATGGAGGAGAATCAATGAGAATTTATCATAGAAATGAAGATTTATGTTGATGATTATATTATACAAAGCAAGAAAGGTGTCGTGAAATTATATAATGACCCCCCTTTCGTACCAATAATAACCAACGCCACATTGTTCAACTGTAAATGACGCACTGTTCAGAACAAAGCGTTGTTTCACAATAGACAAATCATTTATATAATTTAAATATTAATAAATTAGTTTTGTTGGTTGTTTATATGGAAGATTATGTAATGAACCCCTCATTTGGAACCAATAATAAAAATTCTATGCTTAACGTCACATAACATTAATTCACAATTCAGTTCAATGGAGACGCCATTAAAATTAATAAATTTATACTATACATGTACAGTAGAACACGAAAAATATTACAAAAAAATACACACACCACATTTATTAATGGGCAAGGGTGGTCTAAAATTATCTAATAAACACTCATTTTGTATAAATAGCCAAAGATATATTTCTAAAGCCACCCACATTGCAAATAAGAATCACCGCTTGAAATGATTGGAAGGTCTTCGTTTATTACCCACCCAATCAGATACATCAAAAAAAAATCGTAAGTTAAAAGTTTAATATACAGTTTCAGAACCTAAAAATTCAAAAAACATTTAACATCAGTTATGATCATCTAAAGTATATCTATATTTTTCAGACCATCATCTTATAATGTCTTATGTTAAGGTAATAATACTGCTATATCAATGGCATTAAATTACCTAATAACAGAACCATTACGTTGAAATAGTACCTATTTGAATGAACAGTGATTTAATTGTTGTACCTTTAAATGTGTTTATTTTTTTTAAAGAAATCAATAGGTCAAGCCTGATAATCATAAAATCTGACATTTTCACTATTATTATAAAAAAAAATCAATAGAAAGGTAAACAATAATTGTTACCCTTTCAAGAACATTTTGAATATAAATGGCTTTCAATTAACATTTTACCTTTACAGGTGAAAAAATATAAACATAAATTACATTAAAGGCTAGCGGTGTTCAGTTTCAATCACTTTGATCCCCATGAACTATTGGGGAGAATGGGTAGGCTGACGCTATCTATAGTAATAGTATTCTTGATGAATGGGGCTAGCAGGTGCTTTCGTGTATGGGAATGCATGTCTGACAAGCAAGCGTTGATTGGTTGATAGTACACACGGGCATGCATTCAAGGTCATTTCATTGGTTGGTTTGTAATTCACGCTCTAGTTGCGGTGGGAACAATTCAAGTCTGAACTTTTAAAATGTGTAGGAATTTATCTCTCCCAATCGGGGCAGATGGTCGCCATTCTAATTAGGGGTCAACGTTTCAAGGGGTCAGGTGCATCGAAATTCAGTCCCTAATTTTCCAGATGACTTTCTTTAATTCCCTAAATACCTGACCCTAGATCAGAACATATGCTCCTTATTAACAGGACAAGATTTAAGATGTCCGTATGTCGTGAACTTTTAAAAAATTAAATAGAGTTATAAACCTGAATATTATTTCCCTGAAAGAATTCGCAGACATTTAACCACATCAGTTACTTTTCTTTACCAATATTTGATTCAGGGAATAATTTAAATATGCAAAAGACGGAAAACTTTGCATAAAAGCATACACTGTTCATATTTTTATTATATAGGCTGTTAGCTAATAGTTCTTTACGATTTCCGTTGCTC